TTAGCTTCTGGGCTTAAAGGATATAGCATTTACCTAAAAAATGGCTTTGTGAGGTCAATTTGAATGTTAACTGCTCTATGTCTCATTTAATTAGAATGTTCTCCCCCCCCCTCATAGAATATCTGGAGCTTGTTTCAAAGCAGAATCATTTGCAAATTCAAGATGACTAAAAAAAAAAAGTGCGTATAGTCAAGGCTATGGTTTTCCCACTTGCAATGTATGGCTGTGAAAGTTGGACCATAAGAAAGGCTGAGTGCCAAAGAATTGAGGCCTTTGAACTATGGTGCTGGAGAAGACTCCTGAGAGTCCCTTGGACTGCAAGGCAATCAAACCGGTCAGTCCTAGAGACCAATCCTGACTGCTCTTTAGAAGGCCAGATCCTGAAGATGAAACTCAAATACTTTGGCCACCTAATGAGAAGGAAGGACTCACTGGAGAAGAGCCTAATGCTGGGACAGATTGAGGGCAAAAGAAGAAAGGGACAATAGAGAATGAGGTGGCTGGATGGAGTCACTGAAGCAGTCGACGTGAGCTTAAATGGACTCCAGAAGATGGTAAAGGACAGGAAAGCCTAGAAGAGGAACGTTGTCCATGGGGTCACGATGGGTCGGACACGACTTCACAACTAACAACAACAATCCTCCTGAAGGGACATTTCAGGTTGAACCATTGTTTTTTTCTTACGCTGGGAAATGCAATATTTTGTGCCTCCTAAATGGCACAAGAGATCTCTTCCAAGAGCATTTAGAGAAAAGGGATTTAGGAGAAAGGCTTGTTGATGAGCAATAGGTCCTATAGAGACAGTGAGCAGTTTCGAGAATGGATGTGGAATAAGTGGACATTCCAACTGTCTTATGCCACAGAAGAACATTTGGGAATTCTGTAAAGTTCTGACCGTAGAATGAAAAGTGCTATTATTTGAAAAGAAAGTTGATTTAGTGTAGTGGTTGAGGCACCAGGCTGGAAACTTGGAGAGAGTGTATTCTTGTCCATCCTTTGCAATAAAGCCAGCTGGGCCAGGCACTCTCTTTGAACCCCAAGAAGCAAGGAAGGGCAAACCATGTTGCCAAGAAAATTGCATTGACTTGCCAAATGTGAATATTGACTTGAAGGCACATAGATTAAAGAAGAATCCAGGAGGTAAGGAACCATTCATAGAACATAGAATAATAGAATTGAAAGGGGCCTTGTCCAATCCCTTGCTCAAGCATTCTGGACAAATGGCTGCCCAATCTCTTCTTGAAAACCTCCAGTGATGGAGGATCCACAACTTACAGAGTTTCACTTATTAATTTTTCTCACTATCAAGAAATGTATCCTTAGTTTTAGGTTGGATCCAGTGGGAAAATCCAAATTTTTTTTACTACTGGTTCTGTGGGCATGGCTTGGTGGGCTTGGCTTGGTGGCCGTGGCAGGGGAAGGATACTGCAAAATCTCCATTTCCACCCCACTCCTGGGGGAAGGATATTGCAAAATCTCCATTCCCACCCCACTCTGGGACCAGCCAGAGGTGGTATTTGCCGGTTCTCCAAACTACTCAAAATTTCCGTTACCGGTTCTCCGAACTGCTCAAAATTTCTGCTATTGGTTCTCCAGAACCTGCTGGATTTCACTCCTGGTTGGATCTCCTTTTAATCATCTTCCATCCATTACTTCTTGACCTGTCTTCAGGGGCTTTGGAGAATAGGCTGACCCTCTCTTCTTTGTGGCAGCCCTTAGATATGGGAAGACTGCTTTCATATCATCCCTAGCCTTTCTCTTGTTAGACTAGGCATAATTAATCTAACACCATCTTCCTGTGCTGCCATTAACAAAGCCTGCATAGGTAGAAAGGGGTAAAAGAAGATCTCTGTTTTTGGTCATTTTAAACATTTGAACTTGAGAGTCTATTGCAGAGTTTTTCTTTGCTGGTCTAGAGATAAAGAATTTAAAAATAAAAATGCTATTGCCCCTTCTGTTCTGTCTGCACGTGCTGCCAATTCTTTTATCTTTAGTGTCTCTGCTAATCAAATCACCCTCGTGCCGAAATTGCTGAAAAAGAAAGTAAAAGGGTATCTTCATTCCCATGCAGTTCAAAAACCACATTGTATCTAAATCCATGTAGATCAGTGTTTCTCACCCTTGACAAATTTAAGAAGCGTGAACTTCAAGTCACAGAATTATGAGAGTTGGAATTCATACATCTTAAGGTTGCCAAGGTTGAGAAATAGTAATTTAGATAAAAACACCGGGAATGAAGTGCAATCGCTGAAGATAGAGATACTCCATATGCATATACATCAACACTATTTCCAAAAGGGAAATAGCTGTGCAAATAAATCAGAAATCTTCTACTAGGTGATGTCTAAACCACCATCCCAAAGGCAATTTCTTCATACATTGATCAGCATTATCTGAGCTCATAAATCCTGATATTAAAGCATACGATGCAAATAAAAGGTGTTTCTACTCTTGGAAAATTCAGAAATATGATAGGAGTCCTATTTTGTAGAGTTCCCCACATTTTTGGGCTTTGTGGAGTGCTGTGGGGGGGAGGATTCAGCACATGTGCTGTTTGCACAAATGTAGCATGCACGCCAGTGGTGGGTTGCCCCCAGTTCGGACCGGTTCACAAGAATTGGTAGTAAAACCGGCGGTAGGCGTTGCCCACCGCCCCAGATGTCGTCATCAGCGATCTGCAAAACGAGCATGCGTGCGATCCCATCGCGAACCAATAGTAAAGATAGGTAGAACCCACTCCTGATGCACACCCCTGCTTGCCTACAGCTCACGCGAGTGGAGATGTGCGCCTGCGCCCTCCTGCCACTTCCATGGCCCAGTTCCAAAAGGCTCAAGGCTCAATAGCGGGCCGCAGCCTGGGAGCTGGGGACTCCTGCTCTATTGTAACAAAGCAAAGCATATATGTGTGGTAGAAAAATTCAGCAAGATATGCAGCTGTTAAGGGAACACACTGTAGTTCAGAAATTGCAAAACATAAAGACATTATAATTTCATAATGAAGTTCAGGTGTAATTATGCAAAATACTTCCCCATATGCTTGGTACTCTGCCTTCTTTGAGAGAGAGAACAGGAACAGCCTGTATTTGCAGATAGTCCTTGACTTATGAACATAGTTGAGTCCAAAATTTATGTTGCTAAGTGAGACATTTGTTAAGTGAGTTTTGCCCCATTTTATGACCTTTCTTCAACTCCCAGAATTCTCCAGACAGCATAGCATAGCTGGCTGAAGAATTCTGGGAGTTGGTCCACAAGTCTTAAAGCTGCCAAGTTTGAAGACCTCTGCTGTGTACTATATGAAGAAGCCCACATCCCTTCTGTTGTACTTCTTTTACTAAATCCAGTGGGATATACCTGGTTTCTTATAAAACAGTATTTTATTCATTAGCTATGTTATGTTGCAATTCCACAAGGAACAAAAAAGCAACAGACAGTAAAGTATCAACAAAATATAAAAGGAATTTAACTTATCCCTTAGGGAGAGAACATTCTGGGGAATCGATACAAACTGGTATTTAAAATATGAGCACAGAGAACACAGAGACTAACAGGAGATGGATATCTCACAATATCATTTAGCTGTTAAGATGTGCCCCTCAATGCATGCTTTGATATTGCATTTAATCTTTTGGCTTAAAGATAAGAGAATGTGCAGTTTTATTTGCCTTAAGGACCAAAGAGAAGATACACAGTTAGAGGCTGATGGCAGGATATAACCAATCTATGACAGTGTTAAGAGGCAAAATGCCCCTGAACATCAATCTCATCCAACTCACAGCTGGTTCATCCAGATATCCCAATTTCTCTTGACATTTTTGCCCGTGTCCTGAAGGACGAATAGTGGTTTTAGGGAGTGCACAGATGAGAGAAATAAATAAAACTGGTGAACTCCTATTAATTGCCTCAGCTCCTGCAGACTTAGCAGTTCGAAAGCATGCACAAATACAAGTAGGTTAATAAGTATTACTTTGGTGGGAAGGTTAACAATGTTTCATGCACCTCGGCTTACAGTCATGGTGGCCACATGACCACAGGAAGTGTCTTCGGACAAGGGTATCTCTCTCCCCTAAGAAACGGAGATGAGCTTTGCCACCTAGAATCAGATACAACTGGACAGGGGAAACCTTTACTGTGTCTCCTTATTGTGTGTTTTGTGGATCTGCTTTTGAAATGCCTGAAAATTGCATGTGCTTGCAAATGCAAGACATGGAGATTGCATTGTGCCTGCATTGGCTGCCAATTGTCTAACAGGTACAATTTAAAGTATTGATTTTTTTTTGTGGTTTAGGGCCTGATTGAAGGTTCACTTCTCCTAATGGTTATCTGTTCACTTTCTTAGATCATCAGGAAGGATTCACATATCAGACAGAAGGCTGACTATCTGATGTGCAAGACATGACCCTCTTCTGTGTGGCCCACTGCCTAATGCCAGTGTTTCTCAACCTTAGCACCTTTAAAATGCATGGTCTTTACCTCCCAGAATTTTTGGAGTTGAAGTCCATACATCTTAAAGCCATCAAGGCTGGGAAATACTGACATAGACCTACAGAGATTCTGCATTCCCCCACCCCAACTCTCTCTCACACACAGGATTTAGCAATATGGAAATTCTTTCATCGAGCAAGCTATTAAGCAAATTTTCTTGATATTTTTATATTCCATATTATATTGTTGCACACTGCCCTTAATGTTTATTTAGTTAGAAAAGCAGGATATAATTTAATAAATGATGAAAATGTGGGATAGGTTAGAAGTTCATTTATGGGAGATTTTCAAACACTACCAAGTCTAAGACACAATTATGAAAAAGCATGCCCATTTTAATTTCTCCATTTGGCATATGGAAAACTATATAGGCTGGCAAGTATCTGGATGATTATATGAGACAGCATCATGAACACGTAGTTGCCAAGAAAATATAGAAGGGCCAGCTTTTCACAGAATAAGAGATGATTTCTAAAAATTAGTGCCAACTAGTCAGAAGAAGACACAAAAGCAAAACATTGTGGGTTTGGTTTTTTTCCTAAAATTTAATATGTAAACAGAAATATAACAAAGAGGAAACAGTTTCATTTAGTAGCTATAGGATTATAATAGATATAATAAAGAGAAAAATACACAACAGTATCAGAGTTCTCAAAGAAAGTACATTACAATGCAAAGAATTACTAAAAAAAAGTGTGAATTTCTCTTTTAAAAAGAGGGCCAAAATGGCAACACAAGATCTGATGAACTATTGGAGAGGTAGAAAAACATTAAGAAGCGGAGGGAATTATTTTGGTTCCTAATCCCTCTTTATTGATATAGATCAATAATGTTCACATTTTATCTGACTTACAATTATTTCTGGAGCCACAGTGGGCTCCACACAATGGGTGTCCAACCCAGTTACTTATTCAGCAATAATTCCAATAAAATCATATCTTGAAGACCCATTGAACTCAGTTTGAATTAATTCTGAATAGGAGTGAATAGGAATGAGCTGATGGAATCTAATCCTGGAGTTGGGGGGAAGAGTATTCACTTCAGTAGATGCTGTTAGACTGCAAATCCAAACTGACTATTGTTGTTGGATGATCCAGTGGAAGTTGGAGAAGCACAAACATTTACAGAACCTGATGTTCATGAATGCAAACATTCTTATTTTGAATCACGTGGTTTAGGAATAAAAGTTTCTGGTAAATAGATGCCAACTGCAATGCCTTCTCTTGCATACTTCCTGCCTCTTGCCTCTATTCTCCTCCTATTTTATTATTATCCATCTTTTTGCCATTATTCCTATGAACATTTTGAAAGCAGTTATTATTTATTTATTTGTATCCCGTCTTTATAATTTTCAAAAGTAACTTGAGGTAGTGGTGAACATATCTAGCACACCTTCCTCCTATTTTTCCCCAAAATCCATAGCTAGTGGACCTCCACAAACATCTGACTGATCATGTTTATTTATGTATTTTTTTCTTTTATATACCATTTAATCTACTTCTTGCAGACAATAAGGATCCCTCCCTTCAGACTGTACCAGTCTGAAATTATTGACATTGCTACATTCCACATCTCAAGCATGGACTTTGGGAAGCTGCAAGGAAATCCAATGACAGCAGTTTTGCAGTAATTCCTCTAAAGCTGTTGTAAATTTTTCATTGGCAAAAACAGGCATTTCATCCTGCCTATCTACTCAGAATTTTCACCTCCTTTTTTGAAGCTGTGGTACCCCTCTTCACTTGTCCTCCTCCTTCCCAATTGCAAATGAAGGAAAAATTTGACTACTTCCCTGCAGTGTCTAACTGAAACTCTAAAACAATATTTTTCCTTGCTGCAAAACATTGACACCATGATGGAACAAGGAAAGCAAGGCACTGACTAACTGCTTTTTTTTTTAATGTATCTTCCCATTGATTAGGTAAGGAGAATCTTTAGCCAAATCTAAAGAAGGATACACCACACAGATATCTTCTGGACTAGAATGAAGCCACTTCTGATGATATACATGGCAGTCAGTGGCTAAATACATTGAACATTTGAATGCTCTACAGAATTCTTTCTCGAACTACTGTTTCTTGTTTTAAGATATTGATTTTTTTGGCCATTGCTGTTTTTACCACTTTTGGGTGGTAGCATAATTTACTTATCTATGCTTCTCACTGGAACAATATCTGATGCTCTCTAGTTAATGGTCTTCTGCAAAGACCCCTGTGACTGCCACTGCCATTTTGTAGTGAACCAGGGGTAAAAACAGCCAGGAAAATAGATACTGAACAAGCAGAGCAGATCGCACAATTTTTAAAAACAAGGGTTGGCAAACCAAGCTCTAGTAGAAATACAGAAGAAGCACTTTGGAAGGAGAATAGGAACCACAAAACATCTCCACTCCAAGGTGCCTGAACAAATCAACACAGATCTGAATAATTTGCAAAAACCCAAACCAATACAAGAGCAACTATGAGGTCAGAACTGAGTAGCAAAGATCAAGTATTTGCACTGAAAGTTCAAATTAGTTTCTTTATGTGATTGATAATAACTGCATTATAAACTTGAAACATTCCTATATTCAGTGAATTGCTCTTGTTTACAAATAAATATCCAATTATAATAAAACATAATTCAAAATAGGAAAACTTGAATAATTTCTTTTTTGGCTATCTACAATGAATGCATTTTTGCCTAGCATCAAGAGGAAAGAAACACTTATAAAGAAGAAGATATTCTGCCAAGCCAAGCCTTCAAGACATGTTTTTTTTTTAAAAAAAAAAAAGATATAAATCATCATTTGCAGGTACATGGTGCTAATTGAAATAACAACACTTTTGAGAAAACTTGTCTAGCACAGACAGTAAATAGACACTTAACTATTTACCTTTTAAATAATGATTCTGGTTTTAAAAACACGCCAGATTATTCAAGGGGAAGATAACTGCAAGATTTTTTTTAAAAGAAATTAAAACAGGAAGAAGAACAACACAGGAAGTGACAGTTCCAAGGAATTCTATTTCACAGTATATGCAGTTTTAAATACACACACATACAGACATATTATATATATATATTTATATATAAGCAAAAATTTTAGAAATGTTAATGTTGTTCACTGGTAACATATATAAATGCATGTAGAAAGGGAAGTGCCTAAATAAATTGTCACTAAAATAGTAACAAAGTGGACTGTTCTGTGGATAATTTCTTATTTGACCATGTATATTATAGCTGTGTTTTAATGACTAATATTATAGAAAGGAACAAAAAAAAAAATCTAGCCCTTGTAATTACCAAGACAAAAAATGCTGGAAGCAAGAATTTAAAGCCAGATAAATGTTACATTTGGGTTGTTTGAGGACACACAGATGGAAGGATCAAAACTGAGGGAATGCAAAGGGCTTAAGCACAGGAGAAATGAACATTAAGTAACATGAAGGGAAAAATGTAAAACAGGATTGGTGTGGGACCGTTTTGCTGTTTGACAAGAAAGCCAAATCCTTATAGGCCCTGTCTTGAAAAACATGGATGCTCCACTTAGACACCAATGGTTTCCTTCATCTAATCCACTTCAAAGGGCCACCTCAGTAGATTACTTTAAATCTATTGTGTATTGATCACAGAGTAAAGCCCAAATCATCACATTCGAAGTGTGGAGGTTGTGGTAACAACAGGAAGGGAAATATGGGATAAATCTGATAAATTTTGGCGAGGTTTTTTGGCATGCTTTCTTTACTTAGCAAATGGGGAAGAAAATGTGGGTTAGAATAATGGTCCCCAAATCATTAATGAGGTAATCTAGAATATATTGTGGCCACATCAGAAAAAGATTGCTATGAAGATGGGCTTCTACATTGACAAAGTGGACATCCTACTAGGCCAATAGCAAAACATTTAATTATTTGGACCCACCCACCAACTGTCCCCAGCATTACCCCTTTCCCCGATCTGTGTGTATTTAATGCCATATGGAAATACTTCCAAAAAGAAGGGGGGGTGAAGTTTGAGCTGCAGTCAATACTTAAATATAAAGCTGCCTCAATGCATTGCTGTCCCCATAATAGTCAACTGAATCAAATTCCCTGAACAGTTCTTGTAGGACATTAAAATTATAGGCCCACCAGATTTGATTACCAGCAGATGGAGTTATTGCTTTACAAAGTATATGCTCTGGTTACAGGAAAGGAAAATCTAACAAGAGAGAGGTGGCATGGTGTGCAGTAACCGAGTCACCCATGTTAGTCATTTTTTCCAGTTGAAAAAGGAAGTCTTTCCATTCTGAATTCAAATGCAGGGAAGCTTCAGAACCAGTATAGTGAAATTACACAAAGCCTAGCTAAATTACAGTGTGTGCAGCTGTCAGATGTGGTATGGCCACAATTTAATTGTTTTAAAAGAAGGCAAGACAAATTCATGCTTTCTCCAGCATACGGGGCAATCTACCCTAGAGATTAGGGTAGAAAGAGGGAGATCATTTCTGAGTGGTTGGCCGCTGTGTGACACACAGAATCCTGGGCTAACTAAACTAGATCCATCAGGGCTATTAATCTCATCCTTTTACATTGCCCTATCCCTGTTCCAATCAATTTAGGCAGACTCAGCATTTTTCCAAGCATTATTTAAGATGTGGAAAAATCAGAATTAGGACAGGGGCAAAATAAAGAAATGAATGCATATAAAAGGATTGCTAGAAATGCCCTTCCAGATCTGGCAGTGAAAAGCTGAGCCCGAGGTCTTACCCTTGGTCTGCAGAGGCTTCTGCCACCATTTAACAGCTGCCATAGTATGTGAGGTAGTGGTAATTGCTCTCTCAAGAACCCTAGAATCATGAACCTAGCATTATGGCAAAAGCCAAATTGGAGAGAAACTGAATGGTCTATCACGGGCATTTCTCCAACCCAACAGAATCCCACTGAAGGCAAAGTTGGCACAACCAAGGAACTGAGTCAGCCATCCTCAACACAAGGAATTCTTAATAATGGCTGTGTTGCCTAGGGAATCCTGAAGTTCACACATTTAGATAGTGTAGGTTGAGAGGCCTGCATTGAATGGATATAGAAATTGTGGGGAAGAGATTTATGGCATGCATCAGCGTGTATTACAGGCAGTCCTCAACTTACAAGCACAAGAGAGTCCAAATTTCTGTTGCTAAGCGAGACGGTTGTAAAGTGAGTTTTGCCCCATTTTACAATCTTACTTGCCACAATTGTTAAGTGAATCACTGCAAGTGTTAAGTTAGAAGCACAGTTGTTAATTGAATCTGGCTTTTCCACTGACTTTGCTTGTCAGAAAGTCACAAAAGATTATCACATGACCCTGGGACTCTGCAATTGTCATAAATATGAACCACTTGCCAAATATACAAATCATATTGATACTGCAATGGTCGTAAGTGTGAAAATGGTCATAATAGTCACTTTTTTCAGTGCCATTGTAACTTTGTTCACTAAACAAATGGTTGTAAGTCAAGGAATACCTATACAATTATTGTGAAGCAGCAGTGATTTGGATCAATGATTAATACAGGCCAGTCCTTTGCCAATGTGGGCATTTGTCAGATGTATAGATTTCAACTCCAAGAATTTTCCAGTCAGCATGATAGGACTGAGAATTATGGAAGATGAAATCCATAACTTGGAAAAGTACCTAGATTGATTAATACTGAAATAATTATGTTTAATTTGACAATCAAGCATCTTTGTGTCAGTTTCTGGAAGGCTGGTAGGATAAGGATGAAATCTCAGTTGAATGTAGGAAATTTTATTTAAAGCTGTTGGGTTTAGCTAGATCATTGATCCACCTTGTCTGTTATAAGTTTCCAAAAATTTCAAGCAAGAAATTTTGCACCATTTTTACAAATAATACCACAGAGTGTAAACATAATTACCATTGTACTTAGCCCCATTTTATAGATAGCAAAACTGAGAAAAGCACTTGCTTCTTATCACTGCCCTAGTGTTTCCAGGCCATTAGGTTCCAAACCAAAGTTCCTGCCAAAAGACCAATCATTCATATATTCCCACTATAAACTTTTTATGGATGTATCCATAAATTCCCTTAAAATGTGGGCAAGGTATTCTGCCCTGGTTCAACAATCTCAGTGAGCAAGACATCCAGTTATCTCAGGCGGACAAGTTCTTTTGGCAATATCAGAATTGTGGTCCATTTAGAAAAACAGGGGTTTTGGCAGTGAGTTAGCTGTGACTGGAGAAATATCCTTCTCATCTCACAATGGTTGAATTACAAAAGAGAGGATCAGGAGTAGCAAATCTAGCAAGGCATTGTAGGTATTGCGTAGCTCTGCTCCACTCCTCCTCCAATTCTGTGTTCACCAGATTGAATTCATATTTAAACAACTTACTGTAAAAAAAAGAGAGAAGGAGATGAAGGACATCCATTCACTTATGGCAATAAAAAAAAAATTCCTGGCAGGCTGAAGGTGTTCTGAAACAGAATGAGAAGACACCTTTTCTTTAGAATAGAGTGAAGCCAACTGAATTTAATCTACACAGCCTAGACACTTGAGTAAGGTTGATGGTTGAAAAGGGACTTGGGCACATTAAAAAAAAAAAAGTCTAGGGTCCCCTGGCAAAAATGGAGATAGTAGAAGGTGGGGAAAATCAAGGCTCAGAGGCTATGGACAGGAGAGGGGAACTCCTTTCTAGTAAACCCAGCTGACAGGAACCCACTGTGGTTCATTGTACAGCTTCTGCAAGGCCACCTGAAGTTGCTGGAATGTCCGCTCCATATTATCATTCACTAAGCAGAGATCAAAGTAATGCCCATAGCCTCGCTGGATTCGGCAGCTCTCATCCACAGTTCGCTTCAGGTCAGCATCCTGGTTAAATATATAAAAAAGCAGAGCAGGCTGTAAATAAGAGGAATGTATCCATTGGTAGGTTTCATACCATTCTGAAGAGCAAATATACAAATACTGTACCGCAATCCGTAAAATAAACATATATGCCTCTCTTTTTGTGTATGATATGTATGTATAAACACCTAGGCATGCATATATACATATATACATACAACACCCCCTCTCCAAACTCATAAAAGAGATAAAAATAAAATTCTGATTTCATTCGTGTGTAAAACAGCCTCAATCATTTTGCACCATCACTTCACCCACTGAAGCTTTCAGCCTTGCAAATGTTAAATGTAGCTTCTGGGCTAATAAAACGTAAAGCCACCCTTGCTATAGGCCACTTAATTATAATCACAGCTCAAGTCAGGGAAAGTGTGTGGGGGTGTGCAAGAGGAACTGCACAGGACATTCCCTTCCTCCTCCCTGCTCTTCCCTTCCTAGGAGGTAGATAAATGGTGGCTGCTGGGGGTGGGAGAGGGAGCAAGGGATTGCATGAATGGCTGGGAAACTATCATGAAACATTAAAAATTGGGATCATGTGATCAGGTTCCAGCATCATTAATTTAGTCATTTGGGGTCTCTTTGTTGACAAGGTTTTGCCTTATAATGCACCAATCTGCCCGATTAAAGGTTACAACACAAGTGTGTTAGTACTATATAAAGTTACAGAATTTAGCATGGGTAGTTAGCTCCATTCTCAAACTTGTCATTTTTTCTCACTTCCATAATTCTGAAATCTTCTTGTGGAGACTCACCGTGAGTTGCTTAGTAGCTACACCACTTTCCAAAGCTGCTTTGTTCATAGCTCGTAAAGTCTCAAAATCTGGTGCTTCAATGAACACCACATATGGGACGAACTCAGCTGTCCTCAACACCTTCACAGCCTATCCAACAAAGAGAATAATTGCTATTACAGATTCCCATCTTTCCAAACCACTAGCATGCTAGGCACTATACAAAATAGAAATACCATTCATTCTTTCTGTAGTCACACATTTATTCTGGGTTTAACCTGATTGCAGAATTAGTCCATTTTCCAGGTTAGCACAACACTAATTCAGTATCCTGAGGACATACAAATAAACCAAGCTTGACACCAACTTAGCGAACAGCTGTTTCTCCATGTATGTTAGGAGAGAAATGTGTAGAAATATGATTTGTACAGTAACATGAACATGAGGCAGTGCAATTGTCAACATTTCAACAATAAGAGAAAACTGAATTTGGGGAAACCCTATTTATCGGTCATCATTAGGATTGTTACAATTGAAGAATTTGGCATATTAAGAGTTTATATAGATATACTCAGTGGTAAAATCCAAATTTTTTAACTACTGGTTCTGTGGGCGTGGCTTGGTGGGTGTGGCAGGGGAAGGATACTGCAAAATCCCCCATTCCCTCCCACTCCTGGGAGAAGGATATTGCAAAATCTCCATTCCCATCCAACTCTGGGGCCAGCCAGAGGTGGTATTTGCTGGTTCTCCGAACTGCTCAAAATTTCCGCTACCAGTTCTCCAGAACCTGCTGGATTTCACCCCTGGATATACTTAGATTTCTAAAAATTACAGAAACCCAAAGTGTCTCAAATCTTGTAAATAAGACAAATCTCTACCTAAGTAAACAGTGGATAATGGGAAAGATTCCCTACCTGTGGGTTAACATCCAGGATACACATTTTGCCTGACTCCACAACCTCATGGATGGAATCAATCTTAGTTCCATAGAGGTTCCCCTCATATTCACCATGTTCCAAATAGCGGCCTGCTTTGATGTCTCTCTCCATCTCACTTCTAGTCACAAAGCTGTAGACTTGTCCAGTTTTTTCATGCTCCTTGGGCCTCCGTGAGGTGTCTGCCAGAGATAGATTAAGAAACTGGGTTTAGTTAGAACAGACTTTGGAAATCTTTTTAGCCTGTCATAACTAAATATAACTTTACAAAAAAAAATTTTTAAAGTGACATAATTTTATGATGCCACAATTTTTGGTATTTTTGAGCAGCGTGATGGCCTGATGGTAAAGACCCTCGCTTCCCACTCGGAAAATTGAAAGTTCAATTCTAGGTAGAGACAGATATTTCCCTCTCAAAGCACATAGAGAAAATATTTGTACGTATCATGTTTCCCCAAAAGTAAGGCCCTGTCTTATATTTTTTTGAACCCTGAAGTAAGCACTTGGCCTTATTGCCATGAGCTCAAAAGCCCGATTGGCCTTATTATCAGGGGATGTCTTATTTTGGGGAAAACAGGGTATTAGGAAGGGCATCCAGCCAGTAAACACTCAGCTCCATTCAGTCATCTGAATTCTACCCCAAATTAAGGGATTACAGAGTCATAAAAAAGAAGAAAAAAATGTTGATGTTTTCATGAAACTGCAACAGGTACCACTTCAGAGTCCAAAGGTTCTCATTTCATAAGTCTGAAGATGGAGATGATCTCTAACTCCTAATCATGATGAAAGGTTAGAACTCATGCAGAATTCTCTTCCCAACCCCCTTTGATCCAATCCCAGAAGAAAACTCTTCACATGGTCCTGGATCTTCTTTTGTTCCTCTGTATCTCTATGTACTACAAATCCTTCACTGGGTTTCTATAAGAATCAGGACTTAGTACAGATAATCCTCAACTTATGACCACAATTGAGCCAAAAATTTCTGTTGTTAAGTGAGACATTTGTTAAGTGAGTTTTGCCTTGTTTTACGACCTTCCTTCCCATGGTTGTTACGTGAATTATTGTGGTTATTAAGTTTCTAACACCATTGCTAAGTGAATCAGTCTTCCCCATTGACTTTTCTTGTCAGCAAGCTGCAAAAGGTGATCTGATGATCCCCAGGATACTGCAACTGTCATGAGTCGGTTGCCAAATATCTGAATTTTGATCACGTGACCATGGGGATGCAGCAATGGTCATAAGTGTGCAAATGGTCATAAATCACGTTTTTCAATGCCACTGTAACTACAAAAGATCATTAAATGAACTGTTGTAAGTTGAGGACTACCTGCATAATGTTTTGGGTTTAATATCTAGATCCCTATGATGTAATATTCCTTCTTGTCTTTTTTCTCTTATTTCTTGGTATAATCCGTCTTGGGCTACTCATGCAGCTTCATGGGACTTTTGTTGATGCCTTCTTTTCTTCATGTTGCCTTTACACAATTTTCTGAGTGAAATCGTTTCTTGGTAAACCTGGGGTACTAATTGTCCTCACAACATTTTAGGAGATTTATCCTTTTTGAGAATAAGAAAAAATTCACTACAGCTTCCAAAGGGGAGAAAAATGTTCAGGCTGGGGGAATCTGACGACTCTCATCTTGTTCAACATCACAAGGCGGTTGTAGACTCTGCCCAAAATTTCTTTAAGTTAAAAAACAGCTTTGCAATCTCTCATAGGATGACAAAAGAGAAAGAAAAAGTTCTTTCAAAGGCTCATCAAACCAGCCAACAAAGGATGTGATGCACAATCTTAAAGCACTTTGAAAGTGCTCACCCTCCCCTCTCCCCAGGGCTTAAACAAGCTAGCACAGCATTTTCAAAAGCAGTTCATGTTGCGTAACCATTAAATTAAGGCAAACGAAGTAATTGGGCAAGGGGTTGACTACATCAGTAAGAAACAAAACATTCCAGGTTTTGTAATATTTTCCTCTCCTGCTTTGAAAGAATGGCAAAAACTAGGCCAAAACATAGAGCCAGCATTAATTTAGCAAATTCCCACAGCTGAGCAATCGAAGGACAAATATCAGATCCTGGTAAAATGGGGTCAGTAAAATGAAGACTTGTTGGGGGCAATATGCATATAATGCTTACATTGCAAACTGTCCAGAGGGTGCTGTAAAGTCCTAAGGGATGATACATGAGTCTAAGTTGCTATTGTTATTGCTATTTACAGGCATCTCTCCAAATTTTATCTCCACAACCGCACCGTGAAGAAAGTTAGGCTGAGAGGTAGGAATTGGCTGAAAGTCACCAGGGAGTGTTTGTGACTTGAACGTAATCTCTCCAGCTATACTAAGCATCACATACCACTATATTATTCTATAGTACTATACAGAACTTCATATGAATTTAGGTAATCCATTCAAGGAAGAGAACTGAGAAACTAGAGTAAACTGTTTTGCTCCATCCACAGGTTGTTTCGGGTACATAATTCCTTCTCAACCTGCCTCTCTATGAAATCCAAATATTTTCCACTGAAAAGGACCTTAGCATTGCTTAGTATTTCCCATCAAGTAATTATATGAGGAAAAGGTTTCCATGAAAAAACAAGCATGCACAAAACATGAATGATGCTATTTCTGAGGAAGGTGAATTTGTTGCTTAACCCCCTAGATGCAGAGACTTGGAAGCAGGGGCCACCCTTTGAAACACAGGTGTGTCCTGAGCCCCATATATTCAAGCGTAATAAAGGGTGTTTGCCTCATTGTCAGTATTTAAGTAAGACTTGACTCCAGATAACTTTTGTTCCTCGAGTGGAAAATGATCTGTTGTTGGATGAAAATCACAGGCTGCCCAACATCCTATAAGCTCTCCTTGCCCAACCTTGCAACTCAGGATTGCTACTAAAATATAACAGAAGAGTACTCAGAAATCCAAGGAGAACAAATCTGGCCAAAAGACACTCTCTTCCAAATTGCACTACAGCCATGACCCACATGGGATGGTAGTTCCATACTGAGACTGGTCAGACATGATAAGCTTGTTCTTAATACTACGCCGTCCAACCCCTTGGGCACCGATCAGCACCAAAGTTTTCCTGCGGAAAGGAGGCATTCGAGCCACTTCCTCATAGATCAGCAGCTCATGTCGATCAAACTCTGAAATGAAGAGGAAAGATATTGCTGTTAACTGCACTGCAGAGCCCCTGTGACCTTCCGAGGCTGGTTAGGAACTACAGGCTTCATTTCTCTAGGCTGGGCCAAATAAATCTAGTCTTGGCAGTTTTTCCAAAGAAAAATGTTTGGACAAATTTGAAGAAATTTCCAAAATAAGTTTGCTTGATTTTTTTTAAATCTTATTTTTCATATATAAAGAAATTATTCTTTTGAAGTAGTCAGATTCATCAAAATGGAGACTTTGCTAAGCTACCATTTGTCAAATCTCTATTCCAACTCCCCAAATCCATCAGTTTCATTTACTAGGAATGCCAACCCTACTGGACCTCTCCAGCCCCCAAAATTAGCTATAAAAAATTCACAGTTCTGCAAGCAAACATGAAGTGGAAGAAATACAATAATAAATTCTGAACATATTGTTCTTTTGAAAAGTCTTTACAAAAATATTTAAAGCCTTAATGGCGTGAAAGCAGGTTTTCTCCCTGAAAGTATTGCCCATCCTAACAGGTCAGACAAGGTATACAGGCTTCTGGTCATTTTGCTTAAATGTCATTTGGCAGGACTTCAGAAATATGCCTTTTCTGTGGCTCCCCCAACAGATCAGTCTCCCTTTTTGGAAGGTCTCTGCCCTATTAATCCTTTGGAGGGCTGTGAAACCTAGCTCTTTAGTTAGCCTCTGGACTAAAATAGAAGCAAGCCCAACAAGGTAAAAAGTATGGGGAGAATATATGATATTTGCCACTATACATGGGATATGTAGTGGTGTCCTGAAGTTAGTTTGCTTTATTTATTGTTTTATTGTAAGCGACCTAGGATTATTTTGTGTAATGTAAGCAGAAAACTTTGCCTCTTCTTACTTTTCTTCCATTCAAAATACCACCCTGGTGAACAACAGGCCAGGACAGAGAAGATTACAAGATCCAGTGCTTTATCAGGGGTTTCTGTAACTATATTTGCTTCACGCAATAAATAACACATTAGTTAGAAAACAATGAGTACCACACTTGCCTGCATTTTTGGTGGTCAGATACATCATCCTTTTCTTTTTCTTCCCACTAAGGCTTCCACACAGGGCCCCTGCCAGAAGAAGAAAGAAAACATGAATCAAATTCAATAAGGTGGAATAAGGACAAGAAAAATTCCAGAATGAGATAGCTCTAGGAAATAATTAATAATAAAAAAATCTCTTTAAGAAATGGTCTAATTACAGTAATTGTTCTCTGCTTATAGTCAAAGAACTGTCAATTCAAATCCTATCTAAGAGCTTGAGGGTTACTTTTTTTTTTTTTTTGAAGATAGGTTTAAAAAAAATAGTGACATCTCTAAATTATTTCTACATGATGTGATACTGGCAAGCAGCAATGAGTCATTAAAATGCTATGATCTTAGTTGAGTCTGGAACACTGAAGCAAAATGTTAACTAAAGGTGTTTTTAGTGTGATCTGATAGGCATTTTGTTCTAAAGACAACTGCAGTTGGATAGTGATTTACATACTTTGAAATAAGTAAAATAATTCATATTACTATCTGGAGAAGCATCCCACCCCTTAAAATTGTTATAAATTCAGACTATGCTACAAATTCACAAAAAGAGGGAGTGGGGGGAAGGGAAGGGAAGGCTCAAAAACCAATAAAAATAAAAAGAGTTGAATGAAAAATAATACTTTCACTTCCATAATTTCAAATGGAAATATTTTAATAAATGAAATAGGAAAACAATCTTTGACATTATTTCTTTTGTTATCTGTATTTACTTTTCCACATAATCACTGGTCCTCTCAGCCAACAATGGACAAGTTTCCTAAGACTGTCATAAAAACCTTCACATTTTGTCCCTTCAACCAGGTCCAGACAATCATTTCTACTATTTCATTTGGGACAAAGAGAAGCCCATTAAAGGTATTTTTTCAATTGTGGGAAAAATTTGAAATTGCATAGTGCCAAGACTGGACTGCATAGTGGATAGGGTAAGACCCAACTTTGCAATTGCCTCTTGAATGGTTCATAAAGAGCCCTAGAGTTATCATGCTGCAGCAAAATGTTCTTTTGTTTTTAATTAAACTCTGCTTAATTATTTAAAAATGTCAAGTATTACAGTGTAATCCTCTGAGTTGATTGTTTTGCCAGATTCAAGGAAATCCACTGAATAACAATATGGACTGATACTCCATGTCTGAATCATAATCATGAGCCCATGTTCTGTGGTTTGTCACAATGCTGAGAAAAAAATTCATCACCTCCTTTTTCATAGTATGACAACAACAATTGTTGTAAATTTCAGTTCTTGAAGCTGTTATCTCTGCTGTCAGATTGTGAGTAACCCATTTTGCATAAACTTTCTGATGCTGGAGAACATCAATAATGAGTCTCATACAGTTCTGCAAAACACTAAGTTTTGCAATTCCTTTTTCGTTGTCTTTATAATTATTTCATCAATCTTTATGATGTAAAACTCTTCTCTTGCTCTTACGGGCCCTCTACAGGTAGTCCTCAATTTATGACTACAATTGAGCCCAAAATTTCCCTTGCTAAACAAGGCAGGTTTGCCCCATTACACAAACTTTTTTTGCCACAGTTATAAAGTGAATAATCACATTTGTTTAGTGAATCATGCAGTCATTAATTGAATCTGGCTGGCCCATTGACTTTGCTTGTTGGAAATTGGCTGGGAAGATTACAAATAGTGATCACATGACCCCGAGACAGTGCAACTGTCATAAATACATGCCAGTTATTAAGTGTCCAAATATTGATGGGGATGTGACAACAGTCGTAATTGTGAAAAATAGTCATAAATCACTTCTTCAGTGCCATTGTAACTTTGAATGGTCTTGAAATGAATAGTTATAAGTCAAACACCACCTGTACTTTGGTCTTGATTTCACAGATCAGCTCTTCCCAGTTCACTATTTTTATATATTTTTGTTCCAAATAGACTCCTTCAGCAGTCAAAAATTCAATCACTGTTTAAAATGCATTGATGAATATTCACTGGAGATTTCCATTTCATGAACTACAGTAACACAACCTTTTTTTTCCCCAAGAAGGGATTAAAAAAAAAAGTGTCAGAGCTTCAAGCACATCAGCACTACTATCCATTGGTGACTTTATTTACTCATTTTTATTTATAAAAAGATTTATAAGGCTGCTTAGCTCCAATATTGGGTGGTGTTCAACATAAACTCACAATAAATTAAAAAAGAAGGAAAAAAAGTGAAGAAAATTAACCACAAACAATACAGAAATACAGAAATGAAACTTGTAGTGTTGGAGGTATTATTTTTCATTCAATCATACTTACCTAACAGAAAAATAAACCTGAATTCTTCCCAAAGTCTCCCCCAAAAGAAAGTTCAGAAGGAAAAAACACTCTTGTATAAAGATTAAACTGTTGGACTTAGTCCATGGACGGCTGAGTTCAGTTCCATTGAATGTAAAGCTCATTGAAGGGGAAAAAGTTATGTGGGGAAGAGACTAATCCTTCTTTCATATAAAAATAATACTTTTAAGTGACATGCATCTGTTAAAATATACAATTCATTGCCAAAGATGTGGTGATAACCATCAATTTTTTAGACAATTTTGAAAGAAAGTATGGGCAAAAAAACTTGGAGGAAAAATTATTACACTGGCTTCTGATCCTGATAGCTTTATACAATCTCCAGATCAGAAGGAAATGTAATGTATCTTAAATCCCAACCATTGGACAGTAGCAGTAGAAGATGCTATCACCCTATATGCTGCTTATGAGTTTTTGAGTTGCATCTGGTTCAGGGGTGGTATTGACCTTCGCTACTGGTTCGCAAATGTGAGCGTGTGCATGACACCTCTGCACATGCGCAGGATGATGTCCAGGTGGGTGGGCGGAGCCTCCCACAGCCACCGCTACCAATTCGCCCGAACTGGATAGAACTTGCTGAATACCACCACTGATCTGGTTGCTCACTGGATCAAACAGGCCTTAGACCTGAGCCAGCAATGTTCTCTTGTGTTCTTTACCCTTTGATCTTCACTCATGCTTGTAATCTGATCTCTGAAATGAATGCGTGGCACTAATTTTCTATTGGTCTTGTCGATGTTATGGAGAATCTTGTTTTCCATGTTCCTTAGTGTTCCAATTCTGCTGCTGACAGGACCTGTGCCTTTTACCTGAAGATGGTGTGACTTCAAGGTCGCGCTTCACAAAAGCTTTGCGTTTCTCTTCGAGCAGCTGGCTTGGGATCAGCCCTGCACTACCACCTTCCACATGGCAGGCCTATAAAATACAAAGGGAGGTTTGAGCATCTGAAGTAAGAGTCAAGTAGGGTCCTCAAAGAGCATTTCCTCTGTGTAAACGGACAATGTCAGGCAGAGAAATTCTTCCTTCCAGTTTTTTTCCTACCAGTTTTCATTTTATATAATGAAGGAAACTTCTTAACCAACTAAGGAAACTTCTTTAGTTTTTTTATATCCTGTGCTTTAGAAACTTCTTCAACAATTAAGGTAAACTTTGGTAAAATTCCCAAAGGTGTGTGTAGTTACAAGAGTGCCCTATCTATCCCTGCCCAGTTCAATCTCCAGTGGTTTGCATTGGCTCTCCATGTTTTTATTAAATTCCAAGGAAATTCATTATAAAGCAGCTGCTTCTGTGGAACTTTTTTTAAATAGTAGGTCTGCTGTCACAGCAAGGCTATGTTACTCTGTCTCCTTCTATGCTTCTACCATTGGGAGACAATTTCCAATTCTTGCCCACGTTCTATGACCCCACAACTTTATTCTCTCACTGCATCTAGGTCACATGAAAATAAAGAATAATGGGATGGTCAAATGGGAACAAGGGTGGTCTCGCTGCAATGACAGATACCACAAATAATTGCCACCAAGTGCTAGGCAGAATTCAGCATGTATCAATCTCATAATATATCAAATTTATATTTTTGAGGGAGCTCAATTATTTTCTCTGTGATAAGAATCAAGCAAAACAGGTAACATACGTAGGTAATACTCAACCCATCCCTAATTCAAATTTGATTTCAAGAGTCACGTGGAAGACTTTCAGGAACCACTTTTAACAAAAAGTATAAACTCTCATTTAACTGTCAGAAGTATTGATGGCAATCTCTTTTCCATACTCCAGTTCTGGTTTTAGCAGTGGCAGCATCCATTTAATATTATATTATATTATATTGCTTTCTGGCTAACTTCTTCTATCACAGTGATGGCTAACCTTTTTGCTGTCACGTGCCAAAAGTGGGGGAAGTGCGGGGGTTACACACACGTGCCCACACCCATAATTCAGTGCCCCGCCCCCGTGTCCCTGTGCATGCACACACAAACTCCCCCCGGCTTTTGGCACACGACACCAAAAAGGTTAGTGGTGGGCCCAGTAGGTCTGTTTTTTTACCCTCCCCAGGCTCCAGAGGCTTTCTTGGACCCAGGGGAGGGTGAAAACGGCCTTCCCCACCACTCCTAGAGGCGCTCCGGAGGCTGGGAACAGCCCATTTCCCGACTTCCGGTGGGAGTGGAAGGCCCGAAAATCAGCTGGTCAGCGCGCACATGCACACTGGAGCTGAGCTAGGGTAATGCTCACAGGCTCCTTGTGCCACCTGTGACACACGTGCCATAGGTTCACCATCACGATTCTATCACCTCTTATAACAATCCAGAACAGAGTAAATTTGAGAAAAATGATATGTTTCTAAGCACACTAAATAGCTTGGCTGAAGTTGGAACAAACTTCCAACATAGCAGAGAAAAATTTCTTAACATATGAGAATGGGGAGCTAGAATAAGGTGACCAGACGTCCCGCTTTTGGCGGGACAGTCCCGCTTTTGAACAATTTGTCCCACGTCCCGCAGTGTTTTAAAAAAGTCCCGATTTTTGGAAAGAATGCACGACAAGCTGGGGAACGGCGCAGTGGTGGGTTGCTCCCGGCTGCCTCCTGAGTCCCAGCTGATGGCTAGAGGGAAAAAAACTGTTTAAACTCTTGCCATGGGGCTTCAAAAGGCCGCCCTATAGCTGATCAATGTTAAAAGAAAACAAATGAGTAGACCAATGCCTGCAAAAATAGAAAAAACAGCCTCTTAAAGCTTCAGCATAGGTTAATTAGCACAAGTTGATTAGATCGGCTTCCCGACTCTCAGCTGATTTGTTCTCAGCTGTTTTGCTCAGGGGTCTCTAGTTGCTAGCTGCAGAGTGCTGGAGATTTTTTTCCCCTAACTATGCTGAAAAAGCGAAACTGAAAGTAAAGCAGGGTCTTTGCTGCAACGTGGCAAAATGAGGCAGAGAGATTTCTTTTTCTTTTTCCTCACCAAAAAAGGTAGGTGCAAAACTGCAAACAATGGGAAATTTAGGGCAAAAGAGGAGAGTTCAAGATTTTAAAACACAAAAGAAAAAAAGCTCTATTTAACTAGGGAATTGTAATAATTGAGATACTATTAATTGTATATTGTGTTGAAAGCAGAAATGGTTAAGTTGTGGTTTGGAAGAATATATGGGGGAAATTATTTGGTTTATTATTATTGGTAAATATAATTGATTTGTAAGAAATTGGATTGCATGGAAATAATTGGAATATTCATGTTCATATTGAGTAATATACAAAAAAGATAGTTATATAACTAATTGATTTATATTAAAATGTTGAATTTGTATTAAACAACTGTATTACATAATTACATAATTAACCAATGTGAGGATGGATATAAAAATAGATGACAATGGGAAGGGGTATAATATAGAATAGAAGGGAAAATTTGAATTTGATTAAGATTAGAGATGAGGATGAAGGGTAATATTAGTTTTTTAAAAAAATAGATGAGGAATAAATATGGCAAAAAGGAAATATAGAAATTGTAAATTTAATTGAAATGACTAAACCTTGTTTAAATTTGTGAACCGACCAAATACTCTGTTCAAAGAAAATACATTGTATGTTTGTATGTGTGTTTCTAATTATTGCTATTTATTCATATTTGTTCTCTTTGATTCTTTAAAGTTTAACAATTCATTCTTTATCTTAATATCTTTATATTTGTTTGGGGTTGGCTTTCTTCCCTTTCATATTTTTTTTTTGTACGGCAATCTTTCTCCTCAAACCTACCACCTCTGTCTTTTCTTTCCTTCTTACTTTCTCTTCCCCCCCTCTTCTTCTTCTTCCTACTTCCTCTTTCTTTCTCCTTCTCCTCCTCTCTTCCTCCGTCTCTTACCCTCACCCCTACTCTAATTTCCCTTCCCTTCCTTCATCCCTCTCTATTGCTGAATCCTTTTATGCATATGGACTACTCAGAGGGCTGAAAAAGTTATTTTTGACTGGTCCTTGCACTTTTGACCAGCCCTCAAACTTACGACTGTCCTCACATTTTACATTTTTGCCCTATCTTGTCATCATGGTGAAGAGAAGCAGTTGTGAAATGAGTGACATGGTTGTTAAGAATGCTGCACGGGCATAAATGTGAGAATGGTCATAAGTATGAGGACCAGTCAAAGGTGCGAGGACCTGTCAGAAATGACTTTTTTCAGCCCTTGGTTAGTCCTTTTGTGCATATGGACTACTCAGAGGGCTGAAAAAGTTATTTTTGACTGGTCCTCGCACTTTTGACCAGCCCTCAAATTTACGACTGTTCTCACATTTTACATTTTTGCCCTATCTTATCACCATGGTGAAGAGAAGCAGTTGTGAAATGAGTGACATGGTTGTTAAGAATGCTGCATGGGCATAAATGTGAGGATGGTCATAAGTGTGAGGACCAGTCAAAAGTGTGAGGACCTGTCAGAAATGACTTTTTTCTATACACATAGCCATGGCCACCCATTCACATGACCAGCTAGCCATGCCCACCCAGTCACATGACCTGCAAGCCATGCCCACAAAATGGTGGGTGTCCCGCTTTACCAATGTTAAAATCTGGTCACCTTAAGCTAGAAGGTAGGGCACTTGGCAGAAATTTTATCACTTCATCACAAAAAAAATGGGAGATGGTGGAGACATCAGGGGTTTAACTAAGTGAAAATGGGTTGAGGAGATTCTATTCTGTTCCATTTAGATTTCAATTTACCATGAATTTGTTTTTATCCAAAATCCTCTCTCACTAACAAGATGGATTAAACCAGAGTTCCCCAACCATTCTGGGTTGGCGGCCCAGAGTGGGGGGAGGGGGAAAAGTGGGGCTGATTTTGTGGGAGGGCCAAATGCATGTGCATGTGTGTGTCCTCGAAGGTCATGGCAACGCTTGTGCAAGTGGGGCCGTGAGCACCCACAACGAGGCTCCTGCGAGTGGAACTGTGTATGCATGCAGAGGTGCACACTTCAGTCTGCCATTCATGCGGCATGATGGCAATTAGCCCACAGCCTGGAAGTGGGCCACGGCCCACAGATTGGGGACCCCAGATTAAACAACAGTCTTGATACAACTATAGAAAGCAGACTGTCATTATGCTCCTTTGAACAGAAGCTTGTTAACTTTATTGTAGTGCTAAGCTTTTTAGTAAACAGTTATAAATTACCAAGAAGGGCTCAAAATATTTTGCTGTCTGAAACAATGTGTGTTGTCTCCATTCTTCACTTATTTCAGGTACAGATACTATATAAACTAGCAACTGGTCAGGATCCTCTCCATTACACCTAAAAATAGTATGCTAGTTTAGGGATGAAACATAGACTCTAAGACGTTGGTATGGCTGAGGGTTGTGGAAGAATAATTGGGAAGCTGTTCTACTCTAAAGATACTCTGCATTAGTCAATTGCCTAGTTCTACCTTACATTAAGTCCAATATTCATTGACAGACATAAGGCTGATGATACCTGCCACCAGTTGGGATCATCCTGGTTGACAATCTGAAGAAGATCTCCAGCTACAAATTTCAGACCAGCTTCCTTGCAGGGAATGAGGTTATCAGTGACTGGATCATAGTCAAAATGCGCTTTCACAAACACCTAAGGGAGAAAAAGAAAACTGTGTGAGAAGAATTGTTTCTCTCTCTATATATATGTAAATTTTATTAAGAACTATTTTTTTAAATAATAAAATCTAAAACAAACTAAAAGAAAATAGAATAGAAAGAAGCAAAAATGCAAGAAAAAAGAGAAAAAGTTGGAATATAAAAAGAACAGAAAAAAGGAATATATATAAAGAAGTGATTTCCGATTTTTATCAACAAATATAAATAAATTTAGTAATTCTTCACTCCCTCTAAGGCCACAAACTTCTCTTCATCCCTTATCCCAGTAGTCTAAGTTGGGTAAAAAGAATTGTGAAAATGAGAATCAAAGAAGTGATCAAGAGTCATTGAACTCTAACTTATCAAGTTTGAAACAAACAAGCAAACAAACAAACAAAACATGGAGATCTTTAGGGAACTGAGATTTTACTATTACTGGCTCATTAAGCATTCTGTGAGCCAGTATTGTTGCCTGGTTACTTTGATTTGCTTGATATAGTGTAATGCTTGTGGACTTTGGAAATAATTCTTCTAGAGGCTTCAATAAGGTAAACACCAGAAAAACTAATTCCTGACTCTATTATGTTTTTCTTGATCAGAAGAAAAGATCAAGATTCACCTTATAATGCACAACTGGCTCCACAAAGCTAGGAATACAGAATGTAAAGCTAATATAGTAAAATTGTTTGAAAGATGAAAGCGAGAGAAGTCCCTGGTTGCTTTTTTTTTGGGCACAATTTACTAATAAATTGCTTACAACTGAACATAGTAGCATCAGAAATAGCAATGAAGAATAGGATAATTCATGCCTGTATTTTCTCAGTTATATACCATATATTCTGGGACAAGTTTATTCTGTATAATTTCCTAATACATCCTGATTCACATCTTTTTGTGCGCTGCTTTTCTTAGAATTCATGTTTTCTTACACAGCCCCAGAAGAAGTATGCAGTCAAAAAGGTAAGCCGCATTCTTAGCTATATTTTCATTTGACTACATTGGAATAGCTCAGATTGCTTATGCAGATGGCTTGATGTAACTTTTCTCCATTGCTAACAACAGCCCTCTTGTGACCTGAAAATGACAATCCAATTTGATTATTGGATTGACATACAATAAAAAAAAAAATCCACATAATAAGAGTGTGGCCAGTATAGGATCCTTTCTGCCAGTTGTCTCTTTTTTGAACAATGGATCCTGGTAGTGGAAGGCAGCAAATGAAAAGCACTTGTAGGGTTTTTATTTATTTTTTTCCTGCATCATAGACTCCTTTTATTTGCATTCCGGCCAGCACAAAATTGTTGATGTCTCTGGGGAAACAGTCATATCTGAGCCTGTCTGTACAGGACATTTCATTCACACTCCCCTTCCGCCACATACAAAAGCTTGCAGAGATGGAACAAAGACTGGGATTTGTGAAGGAACTCTGAAAGTCGATACTTGTTCAACAACAAAGGTAGAAAGAAATTTCAGTTCATCCCTTCCCCAAATCTCCACTTCTGGATTTTCCCTCAACATTTCTACAATGTACAGCATTAAGAATTCAATTCTGTCTGTATAGTAAAAGAGAATTGGATGTGTAGTTCATTGGAAAAGAAAATGCAAACTGGGGTTTCATGGGCTGAAAATAGTTGTGCATGTGCTGTCTGAGGCACTGAAATCAGACTAATGTCACTATCCAAGCATAAATTGCAGGGAAGCCCAAGGCAGAGGCTGAAAATGACAAGACATTTTTTTTTTTTTACTGTGAAGCTAATTTTAATTTAATAAAAGTTAACTCATGTAGCTGTAGCTTGACAATTTTGCTGGTGTTAGCAAAGTACGGAAGGCCACAGTGAGGTAAAAGGCAACTGATATCAGAAGACTGACCGAAGGTGGAAGCCATGTTTAACCTCTTCTCTGGCTTTTTCCTCTACTGTAAATTGCACCCACAGTTGTCTCTCCAAACTGGAATTCAAATAACCCCCTGTGATGGGCAGGCAATTGCCATTTCATCCATCTCATCTCTATCACCCCCCAAAAAAAGTTGAAGTACCAAAGCTAAATATGTTACCCATTCTCAAGTGACCCTTCCACAATAGTAAAGTGTATTTGTACTCAATTATAGTTAGAGAAGCTTCCTCCACACAAGTATAGCCTTACAAATGCATTTACATGCTGGATTTCCGTGCGCCTTAATTAGCTATCATCTATTTCTTAGGCTCACTGATGTGAAATAAGAAGAGTGTATTAGCAGCTAGCACAGAAGTCCTCAATAAGGCATGTGGGGACACCAATGAATATGGTTCTTTCCTCCTCCTGCCTTTAATAGTATACAAGAAAATACAATACAAGAAAAGATACTTGGTCCTAGTTTAAAGTAAAAATCCAAACTTCAATAATATTTTTAACTCAAAAAAATTCATCAGCATGCTTAGAAAAAAAAACTTGTAGGTGATTTCTGACCTACCTGTCTCTCTCCTCTCAAAAGATAACGGTAAACTGAGATTGACAGAGTACATTTGAAAAAGTGAAAGGATAGCAAAGATTACATATTTATTTTCTGGTAAACTGGTGTTGACTCATTGGCTATATCTACCATGACAAAAAATTCAGAGCCATCACCTTCCAACCAATTTAGGTGATGCCCATAGCACGTGTCAAGATCCTTAAAAAGTTAGGGACACTTGATCTAGATAGACAGAAACTTGATTTCAGTCATTGTCTAATAAAAAGATATTCATAAAAAAAAAAAAACCAAAGCAAAGTTAACTCCTAATATCAATGACTACTATTAGCTATTAATGGTTTGCTTACAAATAATGTGGCAAATTTTTGCTCTTTTTTAGAGAGATAGATTTATCATGGTTATCCAACAAATAATGCAAATAAATATTATCAGAGTTCCCCAGAAATTTAAATAAAAAGGGGTAATCAGCTGGTGATGAATGTCCCTGTAGAATTGGCAGTAGAAAAGAACATGAGTTGTGGTTTCTATAGCACATTTACAGGTTTCATGCAGTGGTGGGATTCAGCCGGTTCTCTCTGGATTGCACGAACCAGTAGTGGCGACGGCGGGAGGCTCCACCCACCTGACCTGATGTAACATGCACCTACTGTGCATGCGCAGAAGGGCATGTGCATGCGCAGATGAGGCACATGCAAGCGGAGCGAGTGTGAGTGCGCTCACATTTGCGAACCAGTAGAGAAAGTAAGTGAATCCCACAGCTGATTTCATGTAATATACTAAAGGTAACTTAGTAAGTTTGGATTGGATAGAATTGGAGAATGGAAGACAAGAAACAAGTTTCTACAAGAGCTTGCCACAGTGTAATTTATCTGGTTTTGATTTATGGTCTTGTACAGTTTTACCAATTGTAGTTTATTAAATAAACCATTGTTATTTAACTTTGGTTTGGTGTAATGTACTAATCTGATTTTATAGTCCAGTGATGGCTAACCTTTTTGCCATCGTGTCCCAAAAGTGGGGGGAGTGCAGGGCGATCATGCACATGCGTGCCCACACCCATAATTCTATGCACCCTGTCCCCCGTGCAAGCACATATGAACCCCTCATGGTCATCCCACTTTTGGCATGTGATGGCATGGTAGGCCCAGTAGGCCCATTTTTCGCCCTCCCCAGATTCCAGAGGCTTTCTAGGAGCCTGGGGGGGGGCAAAAACAGCCTCCCCCCCCCGGAGGCCCTCCAGAGGCCGGAAACAGCCCATTTGCTGACTTCCAGTGGGCCCAGAAGGCCCGAAAATCAGCTGGCCAGCATGCACATGAGTGCTGGAGCTGAGCTAGGGCAACACTTGCGTGCCCATAAATATGGCTCTGCGTGCCACCTGTGGCATGTGTGCCATTGGTTCGCCATAACGGTTATAGTCCAATCTTGTGTTCCAATCTTTCTCAACCTGCTCCTTCAAAAAGTACTGGAACTTCTTTTGGTCATACTGATGGGGAATTCTGAGATTTGTAATCCCAACCCGTTTTGGACAAATATAGATTTAAGGTTAACTTTTACACAGTTAGTGATACCTACTTATATGGCAAACAAACAAGTATTGATCAGTTTTCAAGTACCCAGGGGAGACTGTAAGTTTTTTTCCACGTTCTTCAGTACTCTGAAGGATTATGAGAGAGTTCAGAGGTTCACATGAAAACAAGAACCAGATTGGTTTATGCCAAAGAAGAACAGCTGATTTTAAAGCAGGAATTTGCTCATAGCAGTTTTCAGCTCATCTAGGATTACATTAGCAAAGGAATGTGTGGGAAACCTGTAGTTTTTCATTGTCATGATGACATTAGTGGGCCGTATATAACTGAGTTGACATCTGCTTATTAAATTCTTACACCACTTTGCCCAAAGCACTCATGCATTAATTTGCGTTTAAATCTCTCCACATGACATAAGGAAAGCTCCATGTGGTGGAAGAGAATGAAAAATTTCTTGGCTAAGGGAAAACAGGGGTGGGGAGGACAGGCTAAGTCCCCAGATGTGTGTCTTTCCCTTGAGCAGAAACCTGTCAGGAATGAAGAATGACAGCATTCGGCTTCAATTAGGATGAACAAACATGTTGATTTCTGATTTGTCACTTTCATTTGCTTTAGCCCATAATCCCATTCAAGTTTTGAATTAAGGTGTTATGGAGTCTTTGGCATTTTCTCTTCCTGATTAAGCTCATTTTAAGATTTACATTCCATGCCAACCCTGAGAAGTACAACATTCTCTTGTTCCATCTCCATTTATATTGATGTACTTTTTAATTTTACTTTTTTAATTTAAAATTGTTAGGAAACGTTTATAAACACACTTGAAGGGCATCAGGTTTCTAATTTAGTGAATCAAGTTGGGGGGGAGTTGAATTACTCCTTCCAACCACTATTTAACAATTAAATAGTTTTGACAATTCAGAAATAACTGAACAGCAGTTCAATCAGCTGGAAAATGTGTTACATTCTTGAGCACAAATATATTGGCTTCCTTGGAAATTCCTGTGAACTTGGATATACTGGAGAGCATTTTTTTTCTCAGAAGATAAATCAGGAACCTTTTTAATCAACACTTTTATAACCTGATGACATAGATATGAATAATGTACAAGACATTTAGAATAGAGAACTGGAGTTTCCTATACTATAAAATCAGTGATCTCAGGTTTTAAGGATAAGGATAAGGATAATTTTATTTCTATTCTGCCCCTCTCCTGAGGACTCGGGGCGGTGTACAGCCAGGTAAAAACACAATACAAACATCACAATTTAAATTAAAAAAATTATTAAAAGTATTACATTTAAGGCCAATTAACTAAAAAACCCAAAAATTTAAGAATTCCAAATTTAAAACTCAATTTATGAAGCTAGCCCTGCCTGTCGGAAGAGCAGAGTCTTAAGAGCACAGCGGAAAACTCAGAGGCCAGAGATCTTGAGTATGTCCGGGGGCAGTTCATTCCAAAGGGCAGGGGCTCCCACAGAGAAGGCTCTCCCCCTGGGTGTCGCCAGCCGACATAATTTGGCCGATGGCACCCTGAGGAGTCCCTCTCTGTGGGAGCGAACTGGATGGTGGGAGGCTATCGGTGGCAGAAGGCGGTCTCGTAGGTACCCAGGTCCTGAGCCATGGAGCGTTTTAAAGGTGGTAAACAACACCTTGAATCGCACCCGGAAGACCACTGGGAGCCAGTGCAGCTCGCGCAGGAAAGGTGTTACATGGGCGCAACGAGTTGCACCCATAATTACCTGCGCAGCCGCATTCTGGACCAGTTGGAGCCTCCAAGTGCTCTTCAAGGGGAGCCCCATGTAGAGAGCATTACAGTAGTCCAGCCGGGAGGTAACAAGGGCATGAGTGACTGTGCGCAAGGCGTCCTGCTCCAGAAAGGGACGCAACTGGTGAATCTGGTGAATCAGGCGAACCTGATAAAAAGCCCCCCTGGCCACGGCCATCATATGCTCTTCTAAAGATAGCTGTGCATCGAGGAGGACGCCCAGATTGCGAGCCCTCTCTGTGGGGGGTAGAGATTCACCCCCTATAGACAGCGATGGCGTCAGCTGACTATATCGGGATGTAGGTAGCCACAGCCACTCGGTCTTGGAAGGGTTGAGTCTGAGCCTATTTCTCCCCATCCAGACCCGTACGGCCTCCAGGCAGCGGGACATTCACGTCATGGGCATCATTGGGGTGGCCTGGGGTAGAGAGGTACAGCTGAGTGTCATCAGTGTACTGATGTACCCTCACCCCAAAACCATGGATGATCTCGCCCAGCGGCTTCACATAAATGTTGAACAGAAGGGGCGAGAGGATCGACCCTTGCGGCACCCCCCAAGCAAGGCGCCTCAAGGTCGACCTCTGCCCCCCTGCCAACACAAACTGCAAGCGGTCGGAGAGGAAGGAGGAGAACCACCGCAGCACGGTGCCTCCTATTCCTAACCACCTCAACCGCTGCAGCATGATACTGTAATTAAGAGACAATTACACTTCTTATAATCTTAGCACAAGATTAATTACAGGTAGTCTTTGACTTATGACCACAGCTAAACCAGAGGTGGGTTTCAGCAGGTTCTGACCAGTTCTGGAGAACCGGTAGTGTAAATTTTGAGTAGTTTAGAGAACCTGTAGTAAAAATTCTGACTGGCCCCATCCCCATCTATTCTCTGCATCCCAAGTCCCAGCTGATTGGGAGGAAATGGGGATTTTGCAGTAACCTTCCCCTGGACTGGGGTGGAAATGGAGATTTTTACAGTATCCTTCCCCTGCCATGCCCATGCCACGCCCACCAAGCCACACCCACAGAACGGGTAGTAAAAATTTTTGAAACCTGAGCTAAACACTGAACTAAACCCAAAATTTATGTTGTTAGGAAAGACAGTTAAGTGAGTTTTGCCCCATTTTACAACCTTTCTTGCCATAGTTGTTAAATGAATCACTGCCGTTGTTAAGTTACTAACATGGTTGCTAAGTGAATCTGGCTTCCCCATTGACTTCGATTGTCAGAAGGTCACAGAAAGTGACCATATGATCCCGGGACACTGCAACCGTCATAAATAAGAAGCAGTTGCCAAACATCTGAATTTCGATCATGAGGATGCTGAATGATCATAAGTGTGAAAAACCATCATACATCACTTTTTTCAGTACTATTGTAACTTTGAATGTTCACTAAACGAATGGTTGTAAGGCAAGGACTACCTGTAATTATACATCAGATCACTGGATCAATTAATTTTTTTAAAAAAACACTGTCAGATTCTGCTTTGAAGTTATTCTTTGGGTTTTTTTTTTTCTTATTGGTTGATTATTCATTGTATGGAGAACCCAAGAGGGATACCACCACCAGAGGAAGCTTTAAGATTCTGGAAGCAAGAATGATTCCGAGGGGTGGGGGAGCACTCGTTGATTGTTTGTATTCTGTATATTGTTATATATTATATATTATGATTCATGTATGTTATGTATGTTAATTTCTTTTTTTTATATGTTAATAATAACAAAAATACGGGGGGAAAAAAGAACCAAATTCTTTGAAGGAAGGTTATTTAAGGTATGTGGCTAAATTATTATTATTTTTTAAATGCAATTTGTCTATTTATTAAGAAATTTGAATTAACCATGCTTGAACAGTTGTGAAAATGTATCACATGTTCCTGGAAAGACATATGTGTAACAGATACCAAAGGTTGGCTTGATAAACATGTCAACTTTCACTTTTTGAATGACCGCTTTTCAGAATATCAGTTGGACGATATAATTTTAGGTGGTCAAGGTTTGTTTTAAAGATGAGTTGTAGCGCTTCTTAAATAAACATAATTAGTAGTGTCAGAATTGAATTAGCATTTTCTTTGTTTTTATTATAATATGTCTTTAATGTCTTCTTTTATTTTATATGGGTTCACATATTTTGTTTTTGCTTTTCTAGATGTATAGAATAATTTAAAAATATCAGAGATACGTTCCGCATTTTACTCTAATTAGGAACGATCACAACTAGCAAAATCACACTTAGGAGGTGGGATGAGTTCTCCTACCTGGCGTGGTGGATGTGGCTCCTGATAACTGGGCAGGATCTTGAGTACAACACTCCCACTTGCATTTTTTAGAACTTCTTGGAGGGCTCGTGGGTCACTACCCACCTCTTGCCCATTCACCTCCTTGATAATATCACCCACATGAAGCAACCCCTGTTGATCAATCATGCCACCATGTAGGATACGTGCAATAACCAGCTCACCACGCTCCACACGGAAAGTCACACCCTGGGACGAGAGAAACAAATGCAAACACAGGGTCATACAGCTGAGCTTGGATGATCTGAAAAAATGACTCTAAGCTAAAGTCAAACCTGGTTAGGCTATAGGCTAGTCTGGGAAGTTTTTTTAAAAAACCTACCTCTTGAATGAAGGAATGACATACCAGTTCCCTGTTGTTTTTAAGAAAATAAGATGGATAGGCCATGTAGTCTCTGGGAGTTGACTTTAATTCAAAAGTCTTTGATGATGATGATGATGATGATGATTACATGCCATCAGGTCATGGACACTTCTTAGCACATAGATTTTCTTCACAAACATCTGTCCCCAGCCTGTTCCTTCAGATCTTCCAATGGTGCACCTATCACTACTGTAACTAAGTCCACCAACCTTGCTACTGGTCCTTCTCTTCTCTTTCCTTCCACTTTTCAACGTGAGACTCTTCCCTAGGGAGCTAGGTCTTTGCATAATGTGCCCATGGTAGGTTAATTTGAGCCTGGTCATTCATGCCTTGAGAATTTGGGTAGGATACACTCAATGACCCATTGCTTTGTTTACTTACTTATCCCTTCCTGGAATACCCCCCCTGCTACAATGAGACTCAAGATTCTTTACCTTTCTAATATTCATATAGTATTTCCCCTACTCTGTTCAGTTATTAAGAGCATCTATTACTCATAACTTAGGTATACCCCCACCCCTCATGAATTGCAAAATGCAGTCAATTTGATGTATTGGGAAGGGGGACAGTTTGAGACTGGCTAAGAAGAATATATAGAAGTCCTAAGCTTCTCCAAGCTTCATATTCTTTGTGAATTTTCCAAAGCACTTTCACAGCAATAGAAGTTATAGGCATCAGCTGGTCTGTGGTGAAAACAGCCAGGAATTCTATGGGAAGTATATGTTCATTTAAAACATACTACGTAAGTAAAACTAAATAGAAACAGTACAGAAACACTTTAAAAATGATGTTAGATGGCAGCAAAATTAGAAGCAGAAATTATAAAGCCAACGAATCTCCCTCCCTTTTATGCTCTTTTCTTAAACCAGATATTTTAAAAATTTAAGCATTCTTCCCATTCTCTGATCTTTCATTTCCTCTCTACATTTTCTTCCCTTATTATGTACCTGGATACCTGGCTAGCAATTTGTATCAATTTATATTGGCTCAGGAATAGACTGCACTGTCTGATGATTTGGGAAAACAAAGAAAGTGAGAAATAATTCAAATTTTTTCTATATGATTAGATTCAATTTATTTCTAAACAGTTAGATTCAGACCTCTCCATCATTAACAAAAGATGAATTTTCATTTTCATGTCAAATAACGTAAGTTTGTTTATATCAACCCCCCTTTTTTTGTAATACTTTCTTCAGGAATCTGATAGGTTTCTCCATACTATCAAATATTAGATGGAAAGCTCTTTGGGGGTGACAATTTTGTTCTATGTTTTTGCACATAATTTATTCTGATACTGTACAAAAACCAACCATTGGTGCAAAATTCAGCCTGTAGAAGATATTTGCTCACCAGGTGTTCTCCAGCAGTCTTACGAATTCCCACCATGCGTACAGCATCTGGTGGAACTGGCTGGTTGTTGAACATGGGGTCCAGGACAGGACTGGGTGGTGGAGTCTCGTAACTCTTAGAGGCAACAGAATCATGGGTTTCCAAAAGGGACTGAGAAAAGGGAAATAAAGTGATAGTGACAGAGCAGAGGGGAAAAAAGGGAAAGGCATAATCAGCTGAGATCAGAAACTGAATAATCAAATACGTGTGTGTGTGTGTGTGTGTGTGTGTGTGTGTGTGTGTGTGTGAGAGAGAGAGAGAGAGAGAGAGAGAGAGAGAGAGAGAGAGACTAAGGCTAAGATGGGCAATGTCAATGGGACTCCAAATGGTCCTGAATGCCAATGTCCATCAAATCCAGATAGCTATTCAGTAGGAGAATAGCATTAAAGTAGAAAAATACATCTGTCCTCCACAAAACACTTCCCCAGGGAAATACTGTAAGCTGCTATCCCAGTCAGAAAACATTTAGGTACAAAGAAATGTTGATTATTACATTAAATGAGTGACAAGTGAAGCAAAGACATTGGAAGATACTCTTAGACTCAGAAAAACATTCCAATCAGTGACTGTTCTTAAAGACTGCTTTAATTCAATCAGCTACTTGCATTTGTAGTGCCACTCTCTTTCTTGCCATCCTGACTAATTTCACCATAATCAAATCAATGATTAGATTAAATATAATGCATAGATTCAATATATATTGTGTATGATATGGACTAGTATATTGTAATTTAATAATATAATTTACAAGTTAGAGACATTGCATCCTTGCCCCCTTTTTTAAGGGGCTGCCTCTTATAGTGCTCTGAGCAATCTATGCTTCAGTGAAATTGTGTTTCACCAAAGATTAGCCATTTGGCAACCTGGAAGTTTTTGGCAGTCTACCCACCTCTTTGTGGATGACTGCCTCTCATGATGAGGACCTTCTGCAGAGGTGGATGCTGGTCAAAATTAAAGTCCCTCTTGAAAAACTCCTTTAATTTTCCAAAATAGTCCCTGCTTACTGATAATAATTGTGACTGGAATTTTTCAATAAGCAATGTGGTCATTAGGTACAACATCATGTGACTGCGCTGACTTACAATGCCATTTCTGGTAGTTCCAGTTGTCCTTTTTAGGCAAATCCCACATAATCGCATGTCCCGCAATCATCATTTGCAACCTTCTGGAGACTTCCCCATTGACTTTCTTATTCTTATTAGATTTTCTTATTAGACTTTGCTTGTCAGAAGCCAGCAGTAATGGTTGCAAATAGTGACCAAGGCATACTGTGATGTCATAATTGCAAGCCAATCACTAAGCACGCCAAATTGCAATTGCGTGATCATGGAGATGCTGCAAAAGCCTCAACCACAAGGATCTGCTATAAATACCCCATGCTCGTAACTTCAAATGGTCGCTGAATGTGGGAATGTTAAACGAGGACAACCTGTATCCAATTTCTCAGGAAGAACAGGAGAAGGAGGATGGTTCCTCTAACAGCCTCCTATTTCATTCAAAGAATTTTAGTACCTGTTTTCTGACACACCAGGACATCCACTCTGCTGGTTCCGAAGTCCAAGAATGGTGACTCAATAAGAGACATATCTTGTTCAAAATTTTAGATCTGTAAACCAGTTTGTGATTCCAATTCTTCATATTGTTCCCAGCATACTCCTTGCTTCTGTTCCTCCAAATCAGGGGTGGGATTCAGCCAGTTTGGATCAGTTCAGGCGAACCGGATGCTAATTTTACATCTGGTTCGCCAAACAGGTAGTTGCAAAGACTGGCTGGCCCTGCCCAACCCGCCCTGACCCTCCCAGGAGTCTCCATGCAGCCAATTTTGGATGCGAGGTAAGTGCAGGCCCTGCTCTGGGAGGAAGAAAAGTGGGCCTTCCAGAAGTCTGGAAACAGGCCCATTTCCAGCCTCCGGAGGGCCTCCAGAGCCCTGAGGAGGCCATTTTCACCCTCCTGGAGGCTCAAAAAAAGCCTCTGGAGCCTGGGGAGGATGAAAAATGCCTCCCCCCACTATGCAGGAGGCAGAGTAGGCCATGCCCCCATGGACACACCCACTCAGCAACCGGGCAGAGAACAATTGCTAAAATTTTTCAATCCCACCCCTGCTTGACTATCCCAGGGATTCCAGGACCTTTCAATCTTGTCCTTCTGTGAAAGAGCTGCTGTGGTTTAGTACAGGGACAAGCTCCTGATTGCAACCCCCTTGTGGGAGTTGTGTCAAAAGTCTTCCCTTGATTTATGAATCCCTTGTAGCATCCAAAGGACATAAAGTAGCTAGAAGAAAAGCTAGATTTTTGTTTTTATATGTTCTCCTATATGGACCATCATATATACACTGAAATTTATCCACAATTTTGGCTGTCTTTCTTATCTTTAGCCAGCTAGTATAGGCAGGTTCTGAAGAGTTTCCCAAGGATTATATGCTGTCATCAATCCGTTGCTGAACATTTTGCCTCAATTAAATCACTGCATTCTTTCATTGCAGAAACCAATTCCAATCCCTTGGATTGGGAAGCAGAACTAGAAATTGCACTTTAAAGCATGGGGTTTTTTTTCAATCTCCCACATTAGGTTGACCTTTTTCTAAAAAATAAATAAATAATCTTTTTACACTGTATTGTGATAAACACCAAGGACTGCAAAGAAGATGTTGATTCAGCTGGCTACTCTGCCACCTATCCAGGCCAGTGGGGTTCCTCTCAATGAAGCTTGATCCAATTGTCAAAGGATTTCCATCTTGTTTCCTCCGTTTGATCTTTCTCATACTTCTCTTGACCACTCTAATTTCATTCTTTTCTTTGATGGCTTTTGCTCCCAGGATCCCAATGGAAAATTAAATGCTGGATGTTCTGTGTATTCATGCTGTTTTTCTTTGCCTGAGACACTTAAGCTTTAGTGCTGTTGCTTTTGCTTGTGCCTGCTAGTTGGCAGTGGTACAAACTGCAACTATTTATTCAGATTGTAAAATATGCTTATGGCATTTGTCGTTCTTTTGCTAGTTTCTGGTGGAAGAGTTCCTAACCTCTGCAGGAACCTCAGATTCCCACGCTCCTTTAATTCATGCTTTGCTTCAAGCTCTTTTGTTGCTATAAAATAGCTATTGTCTGGGGTAAAACACACAGCAACGGATGACTCTGAAGTTGCTAGTAGAAATCAGTGCAATGGTGGACATGCAGGAACCAAGACTGTAGCTGTCATACAGTCCAGAGATTTACTTGGAGCTTACCCTCAAGCTGTTATAAGGCCTGATAATTTAACAACCGGTTCTCTGCCCTAATAATTTCTTCCAACACCCAGTTCACCAAACTGCTCAGAAAGTTAACAACTGGTTCTCCCGAAGTGGTGCGAACTGACTGAATCCCAGGGGTGGGTTCTACTTACCTTTACTACCAGTTGGCAATGGGGCCGCACATGTGCGCTTGCTTTGTGCGCACACGGGGGTACTCTTCTGCACATGTGCAGAAGTGTTCTGATGACGTCGGGGTCAGTGGGCGGAGCCTCCCTCAGGTTTTACTACCGGTTCTATAGAACTGGTCCCACCACTGGCCTGGCCCTTTTCTTGTGAATACTGCTATTGGAAATGTGTAGGGAATGCAGCAGAATCCACAGGGATCTGGCAACTTCTGAACAGAGGCCTAGTAGAATTAGTGAAATACAGGTATCACATATTATATAGGATGTCTCACACAAAGAGGGGAATAGCTTAGTCTTTTTTATCTGACTGGTATTCTCCTCTTGTCCATCATTCGTTATGCTCATTCTGACCAATATGCCATTTTACAACATGGATCCATGGGAATCTATCAATTCCATAGCCAGACCTTGAACACAGTGATGTCTCTGAGTCTTACAAATGGAATTTGCACTCTATGAAAAAGCGGATTCTGGGTTTTTTGGTGGCTGTATTTTTAAAAAATAGATGGAGACGTACCCTGTCACCATGCTGATGACAGAGAAACAATTAAGTGATTTTGTTTCCAGGGAGGATAGCCTTACTCATCAGATTGTGATAAGATACTCATTCCACCATTCAGGAAGCCAAAACCATTTGCAAAGCTTTGGGTGTTAAATTATAATTCTGCACTCCTTGTCCCTCAAAGGCTTTAGTTATATAGAAGAGTAGAACCAAGACATTAAAACTCAATTAACTAAAATCACAGTAGATATTGGTCTTGTTAATGGCCAGGGGCCTTCCTCCTTACATTCCCATACATACAGTACATGGGAATCAGAACACTCCCCAGCAGGAAACTTTGAAAGTGTATTTAGTTAATAGATGCCAGGATCAATCAACCTCAATCAACAAACTGCAAAAAGAAACTAAGATAACTTAGACCAGGGGTGTCAAACTCAATTTCATTTAGAGTTGCATCAGGGTTGGGATGCAAGGTTTGACCTTGTGGAGATAGGGTGGGCATAACTAGGGTGAGTTTGGCTAGCTTGACATTACTTGTGTTAAGGGTGCCTGTGGCCCAAGCGCTCTGCCAGAGAAAACGTGCTTCTGAGCTCTGTTTTCAGTTGCAATGGCCTCCTGTAACCCTCCGCCACCAAAAACAGAGCACGGGAGGGCTGCACATGGAGCTCCATTTTCACTGGCAGAGGCATCATGGGCCGATCCTTCACTGTTTCCAGGGTGGCCCCACGGGCCAGATCTATGCACCCCATGGGCTGGATTTGACCCACAGGCCTTGAGTTTCACACCCCTGGTTTATACAGTGGGTTGATCAGTATTGTTTGTCTCTCACATAAACACTTCCAATGCAATGGAAGTATGGTAGCGTTGCTCAACCTTGATGACTTAAAATGTGTAGACTTCAAGTCCCAGAATTCTCCAGTCAGTAAATCTTAAAGGATGAGAAACACTGCCCTATGATTCAGAAACTACATTCTTCTCCAAAGATACTAGAAAAATAATCTGCATATATATATATATCCCTTTTGTTTGTCTCGGTTTGTGTTCATTCATTCAATAAAACTAAATGGGTGGATGAAAATACTGCATCTGAACATATTTTAAAACCCTATTAGTTGCATTGTAAGTAAAGGGATGATATTTCTTGAGAAATGACCTTTTATGAGAGAAGTAAGCGATTCTCCCAGGTTGTACATAAGATTTATCTCTTGAACTCCACCCAAGTAAAATGACATCCTTTGCGTAGATTAGAGCAGAGTAGATTCTCCAATCCTCTCCAAACCATTATCTTAATTTACTCTTACAAAACAACAGCATTCACATTAGTAACTTGATAGAAGGCCTCATTTACCACTTAGAATGTACGTAATTATAACTCTTCTTTAGCTTCTCCTAGCCTATGGTCAAAATTGTATTAACTCGCAGCACAGCAACAATATACAGATTACTTGACACCACATATAAAAGCCTTTGGCCTCTTTTATATTTGTGATAATAAAACTTACAAAGTCTTGCCCTGGGTTAGATGATTATATTCAAATATTTTCCTAGTCTGAAAGCTAATTGCTTTCAATTGGGAAAGCAATTTAACTTGGGAACTTTTACCTACAGAGCATGAAAACAATGTATGTTAGGATCCTGTATCAAAAACTCAAAAAACAAGATTTCACAAAGTGAAATCAAATCAAATCAACAAAGAGCTATTTTCCCTGTATTGGGAATCTCAAAAATAAACAAGCTTTATATTAGATTTGAGAGCCAGTTTGGTGTACTGCAGGGGTGGGTTCTACTTATCTTTATTACCGGTTCGCAACGGGATCGCGCACAGATCGCTTATGATGACATCTGGGGCAGTGGGTGGAGCTTCCCGCCGGTTTTACTTCTGGTTCTTGTGAACCGGTCCAAACCAGGGGCAACCCACCACTGGTGTATTGGCACCAGGGAGGAGACTGAGTTCTAGTCCCTATTTACACACAAAACCAGCTACGTGATTGTGGGCTGGTCACTTTCTTTCAGACCCAGGAAGGAGGCAATGGCAAACCATTTCTAAAATGTTGCAGGGACTTCTGAAAAAGCTGCAGGGACTTATTCAGTCAGTATCTGATAATCCAATATGATTGAAAGGAAGAAAATAAAACATAAAAGCTTTATGTTTAGTTTGCAACTTGTTTTTTTAATGTCTCCCTTGATTGTAGCCCTCTAGATGTACTGACAGGGGATTATGACAGCAATGTTGTTTTTACATAGACGAAAGTGGAAACATAGAAATAGAATTATCAGATTTTAAAGAATACTATAAGATTTTTCCATTAAATTACAAATCTCAGAATTTCCCTGGCTTACTTTTCCCTACTTTGGGGTCATGAGAAAAAACCTTTCTGTATGGGGCGGCTATATAATTCTCTTCCTATTAAGCACAGTCTTCTTGGTTTCCTATTGTGAAATATGTGTAACAATCTTACTTCATTCAAAGTTTAAAACAGTCAATATAGAACTCCAAAGAGAAAATTTTGGAAATTGGACGATGAGCAAGAAAATAAATTACAACTATTCCTATAAAAATAAACACATGAGAACTGGAGCTAATGAAGATGCTAGAACACTTTGTTGCTCCAAAGTGGGGACTCTGTATTGGGAAGATGGTGTTGGCATAGACAAGTACATCACCCATGTGCTTGTTTAACTCAATAAGCCATCATATAGTGCTCATGCACCATGATTACATCCCCATCCTGACCTGATTAACATGTTATTGACATCCAATCCATTATTCTGTCATACTGTTTAAATGTATATTATCATTTTGCATTGAATTGAATACTTTATTTGTGTGATTAGACATACAAGGAATTTGTCTCTGGTACAGAGGCTCTCAATGTACATGCAAAGCAACAGGATGATGATGATATCAATAATACCAATAAGAGAGGAAAATAAAGAAGATAATAATAATACTACAGCCATAGTATATGGCTAATGCATAAATATTCGACAGAATGCATAACTCTACGCCCAGGTATGATTAGGTTGAGATGATATTATGATGGTTCTGATGAATGTTTTGGTTCTGATAAAAGTTTTTATCTTGTTCCAATGTTTTTATTTAACATTTGTGTAAAAGATTAGAGGACATCATATTGAAATTTGGGCAAAATTTGTGTCACTAAGGTGGGTGATTGTTGCTTTAGCTTTATGGGTTGGAGGTGACTAGAATCATAGTCCAAAGAATATAGAAGGCATCAGATTGAAGAAGGCTGCACTGCTATATTTTTTTCACAGACTAAGATTTAAGAATCTAGGCATATCCATCCATCCATCCATCCATGCGTCCACACAATCTGCCATTATACTCAACTGAATATATAGGTTCATATGCACATCCAAGAAAAGAAAAACTCATAACTAAGGGCAGAAAAAGAGGCTACTATTACATTAAAAAAATATTATGAAAATGTATGTGCATAGATTCAAATTCAGAATTAGTGACTACAACTTTAGTATCATGATAGAGAGAAGGACCAAGCTGAGTAGCTTGCCATTCAAATGCTAAATATTGACAGACAATTAGAGATCTTCTGATTTCTATTATGAATCTTTTTTTAAGCCAGATGACAACTGAACAGCAATTCAAGCAGAGTGTAAGTAAGGCCACACAGCCATCCTAAACAGATTTAAACATGTCAGATGGGAGCAGAGGGAACAAGTGACAAAGTGTAGAGTGCAACAACATGACGTAAGTGTGAAGGGGGAGAGCTTACATCATGAGGTCACCATGCATATTTCATCCTTTTGGCATCATCATGGTTAAACATGGATCCTTATGAACAGACCATGTTAAAAAGAACTAAAGCATATCTAGCACTCCATACACATTCATCTCTAAGGAGATGCAAGGCACTTTACTCAGAGAAAGGTGTGGTTGAAATTTACTAATAATAAATCTGCTCTAATTCAAAGTTTTTATAACAATGTTTTAAATTACACACTTACCAGATAATAAACAATCTATAAAATCTCTTTAGCTACACAAATCTAGCCAACTCTTTTATACATATATAAAACAAATTGCTGCAATATAATATTTATCGATGAACAGACATGTATAAATGATACAACCTGAAGTTACACAAAAGTGATACTTCTTAATTCAGCACCTGGGTGGAAAAACATGCAATTGGCACTGAAGAGAAAATGTTATAAATGCAGGTCATTAATTACTTTGATTATCCAGATGTTTCAGATTTTTTTTAAAAAAAAAAGCACTAATCTGGTATTCTTTCTTATAAAATCCCAGCAAAAGAAATGCTGCAGTAAGTGGCAGTTCCCAACTCAATCATATATAATGCTAACACCCTCAGCTTGGTACAAAATACAATGGCTAGTATTCATTGCTTTCTGTCCCTTTTTTCCTTTCTCTCTAATTAAAACACACACAGATAAAACCTTTTTGAATAGACTTTGGGGATGAAATCTAGGAGATTTCTAACCAGGAACAGAAGTCTTCTAAAAGTAATAAAATTTCAAGAGGGTCCCCTATGAGATTATGAAGTCCAGAATCTACATTTACCTAGTTGTACCATTTTTGTTCCTTATCCTGCCAAGTCAGTGCCAAATACTCTACAAACAAATCAACAAAGCATATAAAAATTCTGGAATTCTCTCTCTTTCTGCTCCCCAATTTTCTCCTCCCCCCTCTCTCCAAGAAGATTACCCTCCTACCTGGAAGTGGGGCTCTTGGAGGATGCGAGCCAGTTCAGCTGCTGTGCTATCTTGCTGAGCAATGTGTGTGATGTCTTTAAGTATCTCCTGGACCAGCTCCAAATTGTTGTCCCGCACAGCCTCCAGCTTTGTCTCCTCCAGCCGCTCATGAGCCTGCAAGGTGGATGGGGAAAGGGCAGAGAAGAAGGGATTAAAGGGACACATAAACAGATAAACCCATGCTAACCCTTTGTCCTCCTACTACAGTCTTCTGTCCTAGCAGATAATGTAAGGATATTAAATTATGTTCTTTGGGTTCCTTAAAAATTACAAGATCACCACTTTAAGGTTTGTTGATATATTTTTTTTAATAAGCATAAAAGGCTTATAGACATCTCTAGAATTGAATAGCTTTACACAATGGGTGCCCGTCAAGCTTTGTCAAATCTTTCTGAAGACAAAGACAAAGAATAGGCTGTGCATGTTATAAAGAAAAAGAAGCCAAGTAATTACTCTTCTGTATGGAAATACACAACCCACTTGCTCAGAAACACAGCAAGAGGAACAGTGAGACAACTGAGAGCTTTTCCTAGCCTTTGGTGGCATGTAGCCAGAAATCAAACAGGTCTTTGCTGTATGAAAGATGAATAGCTGCTCTAGATAAGCCTCAAGCAGGGAAACAGACACAAAAGAGAAGGAGCTAAAAATAATAGACTGGCAAATAGAAGCTTAACTTCACTCATGGAAATTGGGGGAGGGTAAAAAGAGCAGGCTTAATATGAATCCAATCTCACTTCTGGGAACCATTTTTGTTGCCAAAATCAGTGCAGGAAAATACTGAAGTGGAATGCTGCTGCACTTATTTGGCTGAATAAAGACCAATTCTACATACTAACCCTATAATGCTGGAGGATTAGGAAATTGATCACCTAAAACACACGGAGGATATCATTTTGTCAGAACACTTTCATTATTTTTAATAGGAAAACTCATGGGATGGGCTTAGAGACTTCTAGGCCAGTAACTTTAACAACTTTAAGATGTGTGGACTTCAACTTTCAGGATGCTGGCAAGTTGAAGTCCATATATCTTAAAAGTTGCTGAGCTTGAGAAACACTGTTGTGTAGGCTATTGACTTCTTTGGGATGAGGATGGATGCTGAGAAAATTTAGGAGTTCAGGGCCTACACAGCTACCATGAACTTGTTCCAAGTAATCTCTAGCCTGATTCACAGTGGTAGCCAGATGATAAATTCAGACTTTATCGCAGAGTAGTTGGTGTGTCATCTGAAAATTTAGAACAGAATAGAATTTTTTATTGGCCAAGTGTGATTGGACACACAAGGAATTTGTCTTGGTACACATGCTCTCAGTGTACATAAAAGAAAAGATACATTCGTCAAGAATCATAAGGTACAACACAATGATAATCATAGAGTACAAATAAGCAATCAGGAAACAATGTCAATATAAATCGTAAGGATACCAGCAACAAGGCCTGCCCTGAGTCTTCGGAGAGGGGCGGCATATAAATTGAATTAAATTAAATTAAATTAATTAAATTAAATTAAATTACAGTCATACAGTCATAAGTGGGAGGAGATGGGTGGTGGGAACGATGAGAAGATTAATAGTAGTGCAGACTTAGTAACTAGTTTGACAGTGTTGAGGGAATTATTTATTTAGCAGAGTGATGGCATTCAGGAAAAAACTGTTCTTGTGTCTAGTTGTTCTGGTGTGCAACGCTCTATACCGTAGTTTTGAGGGTAGGAATTGAAATAATTTATGTCCAGGATGTGAGGGGTCTGTAAATATTTTCACAGCCCTCTTTTTGACTCGTGCAGTATACAGGTCCTCAATGGAAGGCAGGTTGGTAGCAATTGTTTTTCTGCAGTTCTAATTATCCTCTGAAGTCTGTGTTTGTCTCAGGGGTGAAATGCTCCCAGTTCGGACTGGATCTCCCAATCTGGTAGCGATGGCGGCAGGTGGTTCAGAGAACCAGTAGCAAAAGTCAGCCGAATGGGTTGTAAAAAAATGCTTTTAAAAGGTAAAAAAGGCCTCTGATGATCACAGCTGAGCCACGCAATCGTCAGAGGCTTTTTTTTTTACTTTTAAAAGCAATACTTTTAAAAGTAAAAAAAAGATTGCGCGCCACAGCTGATCACCTCCCCTCGAGCGCTGTTCTACTTACCGCATGTATCCTTTTAGTGTGCACTCTGCACACGCACCTCGCATTTGGTGCATGCTGTGCACGGCGCATGCACAGCCAGCAAACCGGTAGTAAACCAGTTCAGATTTTACCACTGGTCTGTCTTGTTGGGTTGCAGAGCCAAATCAGACAGTTATAGAGGTGCAGATGACAGACTCAATAATTCCTCAAATCAGCAGCTCCTTGGGCAGTTTGAGCTCTCTGAGTTGACGCAGAAAGAACATTCTTTGTTGTGCTTTTTTGATGATGTTTTTGATGTTAGGTGTCTGTTTTAGGTCTTGAGATATGGTAGAATCTAGAAATTTGAAGGTACCTACTGTTGATACTGTGTTGTCTAGTATTGTGAGAGGTGGAAGTATGGAAGGGTATCTCCTAAAGTCTACCACCATTTCTATGGTTTTGAGTGTGTTCAGTTCCAGATTGTTCCGGTGACACCACGAGGCTAGCTGTTCAACCTCCCGTCTGCATGCGGATTCATCATTGTGAACTTCAGTATTTTAACAGATGGATCATTAGAGATGCAGTCATTGGTATACAGAGAGAAGAGAAGTGGAGAGAGCACACAGCCTTGGGGGGCCTCTGTGCTAATTGTACAGGTATCTGAGGTGATTCTGCTTAGCTTCACCTGCTGCTTCCTGTTTGTTAGGAATATGTAGTAAGATGTAACTGTGAATTATTTGCAGAATTTGGATCACTTTTCATCACCCCTGCTAATATTTGAAAGATCAAAGGACTAATTAAATGGTCCATCCCTAAAGTGTCATGGACTGAGACAGATTTTAGCAGGCCTTAGGGATTTCCCTAGCAATTCAGCAGATAAAATTCTGAAATGGCTTCTCACTTTTTGCTTATTCTGAGAAGCTGCTTGGTTTATCAAATGAAAGGAAGTTTGGAAGTGTTCAAGCTTACAATTTGATTTTCACACACACACACACACACACACACACACACACACACTTACAGTGTACTCATTCAGACAGACTCTTTTTGAGATGGTTTGAAATGCTTCTTTCCAGGTTTCCTGTCGCGCTGCAATTTAAGAGATAAGCTGTCAACTATCTCTTGATTGTTTGTATTGATTCTCCTTTCCCAGCCTCCTCACAACATCACACAAATGTCTGCTTGAAGAAGTTGAGAGAGTTGGAATTGGAAGATACAAGGTGTTTATAATTTGGAAGAATGGTATAAGGAGGTATGGGATATTGCCATAAATGATAAATTGACCTGCAATATTAAAGTAAGGAGGGGTATAATGAAGGTAAACGATTTCAATGGAATTTGGAAACAGTTCCTAACATATGTGTTTTCTGGAGGAAGAGGGATACCACCACCAGAAGAAACTTTAAGATTCTGGAAGCAGGAATGATCCCGAGGGGTGGGGGAGCACCTGTTGTTTGTTTGTAAAAATAAAATAATAAAAAAAAGAAGTTGAGAGAGGTCATCTATTAATCCACAGTGAAGTATCAGTGTGCCGATGATATGCAGATATTCGTTTCTACTCCAGGTTAAGCTACCAAATGCAGAAGGGCCTTAGATCAGGTGTCTGAAGTCTGTGAAGAATTGAATGGGAAGGAACAGGCTTAAGTTGAATCTCTGTGAGATGGGTGTTGTTTATTTCAAAACCAAATGCCTTTCTTCCAGCTCAACTGTGCCACCGGATGGGGTGTCACTCTCCTTAAAAAAGCAACCAGAGAATACTGATAGACTCAATGCTACTGTTTGATAGGCAGATGGAGGCCATAGCTAGAAGAGCCTTTGCTGACAGATTCTGAGGATGAGTGAGTTAGAATTGGAAGCCTGGTGGAAATAACCATACATCCTCGTTACTAATTAGACTACAATAACATAGTCAAGTTGAGGCTGTCTCTGAAGACTGTGTAAAAGCTGGCCTTTAGTACAAAAAAAAAATAAACTTTACAGCAATCTAACACTGATTCTGTTGTGATTACCAATAGACTTCTGAGTATAATCCAAATCTCTAGTTTCTAACCCGTAAAAAACTACCATCTCTTTCAGGCAGAGCTGATCTAACCAGTCTGATAATTCTGAGCAGGGCTTTTGAGGCTCCCACCAGGAAACATGGGGGGCACGGGACATGTGGGGTTTTTTTATTATTTTTTTCCCAATTCCTTTGGAATAGCCTGCCCCTTGATTTTCCTCCTTTCTTGACAGTCTTTAGAAAGGCATTCATATTTTTAATTTTTAATTGTAAGCATTGATGCTGGAATAACAGACACCAAGGTGGCTGATGATTTTATTAAGTTTTATCAGTGTTTTGCATTTACTTTATTAATTTTATGTAAATCATTGGGAATCTTCTTAGGGAACAGCAGTGTATGAAATCTGGAATAATACATTCTCTATATAAGTTTACTTACAAAAACGTTTTGACATTGTATTGGAACAAAATGTTTGTACTTAGTATGTTTCCACATTTATGTACACCGAGAGCGTATGCACCAAGACAAATTCCTTGTGTGTCCAATCACACTTGGCCAATAAAGGATTTATTTATTTATTTATTTATTTATTTATTTATTTATTTATTTATTTATTTATTTATTTATTTATTTGATTTATCCTTCTCCGGAGACTCAGGGCGGCTTAAAATGCTTTAAGCAATAGCCTTCATACTTTTGTATATACCTGCTTAGTAGGGCTTTCGCCCCCCCCTAAGAGGTGTTCTTTTTTTATACAAAGTCAGTTTATTGCCCCCACAATCCAGGTCCTCATTTTATCTACCTCGAAAGGATGGAAGGCTGAGTCAACTTTGAGCCTGGTGAGATTTGAACTTGCAGTAATTGCAGGCAGCTGGTGTTACTTAACAGCACTTTAGTCTGCTGCACCACCAAGGCTCCTTGGTGAACAGAATTCTATTCTATTCTATTCTATTCTATTTTATTCTATTCTATATTAACTCTGGAATGATACTTATCTTCAAAAAAGTCAGAGGGGTGTTTCTCAGTCTTGACAACATTGGTGGAAAATTCTGGAAGCTGAAGTCCACACATCTTAAAGTTGCCAAAGTTGAGAAATACTGGCCTAAAGGAATTCAGACTGATAGGTTAAAAATTTCAAACATTCCTTTAAAGACCAGCAATACATGAACTGCTGTTGCCTTCCACCATACATTATTTATATGAGTTTATTTTTCTTTTATTATATTACAGTATATTTCCTATGGGTTCTAATAAGTGCAAATGTGGAGACGTTAATTTTTGGAAGCAAGAGAGCCAGAAATGAATAATGGAAAAAGAGGAAGAGACAACAATTCGTTTCTAATTGTTTCAGTTTGCTTGGAAGTTTTATCTTAGGTTTGGAAGTAGAGAACTAGTAGCTCTCCAGACTTTGCTAAACTATAACTCCCAGCAGTCCCAACTAACCTGTTTAAGGATGAAAACTGCTGAAAATTGTACTTAGCAATATACCAATGGTCATAAATTCCCATTCTAATCTTAGTTGTAATATTGTTAGCAAATTGAGATTCAGAGTTCTCACTCAAGACACAAAAGACCACTTTCAATACTTCAGACACATTTTGTGAAGACTTAGCTCTCTGGAAAAGGCTCTAATGTTTGGAAAGATAGAAGGAAAGAGTAGCGGATAGACAGCAGCAAGGTAGATGGGCTAGTTACAATGTGAAGAGCACACCATTGGAAGACTTGGAAGACTATATAAAGAACAGATTGTCACAGAGAAAATTTACCTTTGTGATCACTAGGAATAAAAATTATGGCACACAATCACTTCATCAATCAATCATGAGCCAACATTCAGGATGGTGGAAGAGGAAAATGACAGTTTGTGAAATGTACTGTAGCTACCTATTCCAATAGACTCTAGACATCTTATAAGATATACAATTAAAACAGTGTAAAACATAAAACAAAACAGCATGGATTAAAAACAAACATACCAAAGGGTTTTAGCTGATCTCAAAAAAACTAAGATTTGGTTAGTACTTGGTTGGGAGCCCATCAAGAACTCACAGGCTATGAAATAAATTAAGTCTAAAACTGACCCGAGCAGAAGGCAATGACAAACCACTTCCATATTGTTGCCAATAAAATAGAAGTAGTGCAGCTACTGGTACTATCCAACCATTATTGAATTCAGCTTCATTAAAGTTACAAATAAAAAAAAATATGCTAGTAAATGTTGGGAATCTAATGGTAAATGTTGAAGGAACAGAAAGAAGTGATGGAGCAAGTATTAAAAGAAGAATCAACAGTCTTTCTTAGCGTGAAGGATAGATTTAGATAACATTAGGAAGACTTTCTGAAACATTACAGAAATTTCCCACGAGAGAAGGATGAGAGGAGATACTGCAGAATGATTTTTCAGTAAGCAGTTATCAAAATTAATAATTCTTTTCATAAACAAAGTAGAATAAACTTGATTTTTTAAAAAATGAATATAAGATACAAATTTATCCATGAGGAAGGAAGGATAGAGGAGGGATAAAGGAACAGAGGAAATTGTCAACTAAACTATTTGGGAAAATGTGTTATGGCTAAGACCAAGAAAGAGTAAGTGATGTAGTGGAAGTGAGTGGAACTGAAGGTGCAGGTTTTGCTCAGCTACAATCCCATCTCTGGCTACCCATTTAACTGTACCTTAGCCAATGACCTTACTATTGGACTCTCCATGAGGCCACGGAGAAAGATGAGATCCAGATCTCCAGCTCCCATGGAATTGGGGAGGTCACCGAGGTTGTCCAGGACCTGCTGCATAGCTGTGTAGAGAAATGATAGCACTAGTATTAGTCTTATTAAAATAAAGATAATGAAAAACAGAGAGTTCATCTATCCACTCTAACCTTTCAAGAGATGGAAAAGGAGGAGATGAAAAATAACAGATCAGAGAACAGAGATGAAACCACACAGGCAGTAGAAAACAAGGCGAAAGTGGGAAGAATTCTTAGAAATATGCATGGTGGGGAGTAAGAGTTATACCATTTTTTATAAATATTTATGAGTCATTCATTCACAAATACCGAGGTCTCTTCTTACAAGTTACCAGTCAACAGCATTGTCGAGAAATTCTACCACTAGTACTAAGAAAAGAAAGCAATTTGTGATTATCTTTTTTTTCTCCAAGCAGCACTTTAGGATTTTTCAAAGAAATTGGACTTCTTTTCTTCAGGCTTTTCCAGAATGATTTTCAAGTACTACAAGGTCACTTCAAGAACTGCTGTAGAAAAAAATGCTTTTGTGTTTAGATTACAAAATAAATTCCCTATTGAATGAAGATCAGAACTTCTTCCTTGCTAATCTCAGTCTAATGCTTTCACTGATGCATCACACTGTCTCTAAAAATCATGTTTTTCTAATTAAATTAACTAGCTGAATGAATGAAAACCTAACATTCTTGCTCAATAGATATGGATATAGTTCATCTCAATCTGTTCCCTTAACGTCTGCTGCCAGAAAAAGCTGTGTGTTTGCTGAAGCTGTTTCATTAAGCTGCTTTAAAAGGATTTGAGAACAATCCATGATTTTGCTATTATCATTTGTCATGCAATTTGCCTTTGTGATCTGCATTTGGTCAAGTTCACGTACTGAATTGCTCCACTGGAAATGGTTAGTACACCTGATTGTTGAAGTAGTAATAAATGACTCAGCTCAGTGACTGTAGAGACTTGAATCTTGCTATGAAAGTCAAGGTATAAAGAATGAGAGCTAGGTAAGTATTCAAAAGATTGCACATTGTATTTCCAACCATGCCAGTTATAATTACAGTACTATGTTTTAAACCATTTTTCTGATCACCTGTTCATTTGGGTGAATCTGTTTCAGGTTTACATACAACCATAAGGGAGCATAGGTCATAATGGTTGTAAAACAGACCAGGTATGTAACCAATCCCAATTGTGCAATCTTTTTTGCAATTCTCATTAAGTATTAAATACGGTGGTCATTCAGCAAATCAGCAGTGCATACAGTTTTGCCAAAAATGAGAAGTTCTCATTTTCATAACCTCATCATAAAATACAGTCATGTGACTGTGGCACGCTGTGAATGGCCATAAATGTGGCCCTTTGCTGAGCGCCTGAAGTTCAGTCATGTGACTATGGAGGGGGCTTGAAAATGCGAGCTTTGCATCTGGGTCATAAATCTCCTTTTTCAAGGTCGGTTGTAATCTCAAAACAGTCACTAAGCATCTTCAACGGTCAAACGCTACCTGTGTAGCCTGAATGTTAGAGACTATTGATTTTTCAATAAAGCTCTAAGTGACTTTATAAATGTTGGTGTATTATCAGGGTTCAGAATCAGATTTAGTCAAGCTGGTCTGCAGCATATTGTCTAGCCCACAAAGATATATAGTTTATATTCAATGTATAAGCTGTCCACTTGAATGTATTCCTTTCCAGCCAATGCTGAATGATTCAGATGGGAGATATATCCAAAACTAGAGGGTCACAGCCTTTTGATATTCTACTTCTTTTGGAAGAATTAGGTCAAACTGACATTCCCTCCTCTTATCAGCATATCCAGGGCAGAAACTAAGGCAAGCAATCCCTTTGCTTTTTCCACATGCAAACAAGCAGCCTTCCTATACCCTGATTAACACTGGCAGAGTGCCACGGGCATTGGCCTCGTCTCCATTTCACAAATCCATCTATACAGGATTTAATAACTAAGATTTTACTCCCAGTCAGTCAACAGGGCAGGCAGTCTTCCAAAGCTGCAAGGGAAATTATTTTTTAAAAACCAGCAACACTCACAACTAAAGACAAGTATTAATTACTGAAGCTCTTCCAGTGATACATCTGTTGCTAATCTTATCTTATTTGTTTCTCTCCCTGAAAGTGTATTTGTTCTTAATACTGACAGCACAACAGCAAAGACAGTGGAAAGAAAGAAACAAACAAACAAACAAAAATCAGGCAGCATTTTATTAAAAATAAAAGGAAAGAAACCATTTTGGACAATAAATCAAAGTTGTTTTCTTTGCCTTTCCAAACGTTCTTCAGCACCACACTATGTCCATATTACAATTTCCAGAGTGAATCATTGGGCTTAATGTCTCACTTAATTTTTTTTTCAAAGATTATTTTTCAAATATTAATTACAAAAATTAACAGGAAAATTGGCACATAGCAAACAAAGCATATGATTTTGACAAGTTACTGTACTTTGAAGTGTGTCCTGGGATCCAACATGAGCCCATTATCAATCCAAAAACAGAACAAAGTTAGCGGCTATAGCTTATCACTCAATTTACAAGCATTTCTATCTCCCTGGAGGTCTTAGACAACTCATCATGGCCAACTCATTGCATACATCTCATCATGGTCATCTCGCTGCAGCCAAACTGGTCTGACCACCTCACTGCAAGACAACTCACCATGTGTCCTGCAGTGAGTTGGCCATGGAGACATGACTGCAGTGAGATGGCCACACAAGATGACAGCAGCGAGATGGCAAGTTGACCCATTCGGCTCCCCAGAGTCTAGGGGGAAAAAAATTAAGGGATTAAAGAAGTGAGAAAATTTATCTGGTCATGTATTGTGGCAGCCACTTTATTGTTAACAAAACTCTCTTGCTTGTCTGCCTCTAAGCAAACATTTTTCTGACAGTAGATGCAACTTGCTCTCAACTTTTTGAATATACATTTCAATGCAAACTTTTGTATATTTTCAACACATTCTATTTTCTGCTTATATTCTATTTTCTTCAGGGAAGTTTTAGAGTATGGAAGTATTAATCATCTTTCATTTGTAGCAGTGTGAAGTAGTAAAATCCAATGATGGATTTTGAAAGCAGAATAGGAAGAATAGTGACACTGTTGAACTTTGGTGCTGAAGAAGACTCCTGAGAATACTGTGAACATTCAAAAAAATAAACAAATGGCTTAGTGAACGATCAATCCAGAATTCCCTGTTGATATACAAATGACCAAGCACAAATGTAGTGCAAAGACTTAATTCTCTGGAGACGTTTCTACGGCTTAGAAAAATGAAAGGAAAGACAATGATCAGCAACAAGGTGTTACAGTGGCAATGAGGATACTGTCAGGGGACCTGAAAGAACAGGTTACTGTTACATCATTATGGGGGGTGGGAATCTATATGGTTGCTAAGAGTTGACAAAATGTAATGCCACATAAATCAGACCAATCCAGGCATCAGGAAATCAGTTCTCATCTTTCTAAATTTTTTACTGCAGACATGAAGGAGAATGGTAAACCTTGCTGTATAAATATATATTGGTGTTTTTTACAGATAGAATGTTTTAAAAATGTACATGACCAACTCTTCCATCAATTGCCCAAAGTATGAGATGGACATTATACAAAATGAATGAATGAATGAAACTTTACATTTCATTGAACTAATAGAAACAGAAATAGACAGTTTATAAGAGATTATGCAAAAATAAGCAGTATATTTAAAGTCTGGAATAAATTTTTAAAAAAGAATCAGCCCACAATTTCACCTTTTGCCTCAATATTCTCACTAAAAAGGAAAATGCAAATTTTCTCTGTGGAAAGGTAACAAATCACATTGCTACATTCATTAATAAGACAAATATGAAAACTTTTTAATCCACAGATTTACCAGAATCATACATGCACTTTCAATATCTTCAAATGAGTGAAATAGCTTTAAAGAATGCAGAAACCCAAAGAAACACATAGAATTTAAATGAATTATAAAACAAAGTTCAGAGCATTTTTGGCTCTTATTTATAAACTGTTGGTGAAATATGACTCAGAAACCAAGTTAAAAAATGTATGATTAGATGGGTGCAGAATTTAGATATAATTGGTATGCAATTGTAACAATTTCAGTGGAAGAAATCTATTATACAAAATATACTTACAGAAAAGTGGTATAAAATGTTTTACTACTAGTATATAATTCCATTACTGATTACTAACATGGACAGATGATTTGCTAAAAATTGCTGGAAATGTTAACAACAGGTTGGATATTTTTTCCATATTTTGTAGCAATGTTGTAAAGCTCAAACATTTTGGAAAATAATTTCTAACAAAATGGAACAAACTCTAAAAGCTGAGTTTCTTTGTTAACTTGCTCTTTTTATTATACATTACTAAATCTCACATTCCCACAAATTATACCAAAATTCCACATGGCAACAACTGCAGCGGTACTTTACATTTCCTATTGAAAATATATTCAATTCTTTCTGCAGAAGAATCACTAATTAAGTTATGGAAATTCACTTTGATGTTCAAAATTCATATCTGAATTTGATGTATAGATATTCATAGTTAAATAATAAATCTGATACAGGGCTTAACTTTTTATGAGCTTGTACCACATCTAAAATTTGGATTTTACTTAACATGAAATCTTAATATTCTGACCTTCAACAATCTGTTAAATGAGGATAGTCTTTCAACTGCTCAAATGGGATATACTATAGTTCTTTCTATAAATCACTCTGTGCTGACATTTAAATACAGTTATATATTACTTGACTGTAATAAACTTGATTTGATTTGATTTTAATATATATCACTTGAATCAATGAATTTTTAAAACAATGCAACTTACTCAAGTTATTTAACACTAATTAAATAACTGGAAATGTCTACCTGATTTTATACCCGTAAATTCCCCATTTATTTACTGTATTTCCTCTCTTCTTTTTTTCCTCTCTTCTCTTTTCTCCTTTCTTAAAAGTGGTTTATAAAAATATAATAAAAAGAGAACATAAAACTGCTAAACTTTACATTTTGCCTGGGTGTCCTGACTGAGAT